GTTTTAGGACACTTTCCGCGAAACGAGCGCCGTAGTTTGGGGTTCCACACGGTTAAAACAGCATCAACTGTCGTTGTAATTACCTACATACATATGATAATTACACTATTCTAATTTCCTTTTGTTACCCGGCAGGCCGACAGTAATCATGACTTCATATGGAGTACCGTATCACTGTATTTCTAGAATACGTACAGTACACTGCTATCCTATACAGTTGATTACTGTAGCACTGCCAGCCTGAAGAGCGCCCTCGACAAGCCTACTGGGTTCCTTCTGCGGAGCCGGCTGCGGGTGACGTGGGGAGCACACACGCAGCTCGGGCCAGGTGCCTGGCCCGAAACGGCAGAACAAATCCAGCAAACAGTTTCTGATTGGCTAAAGAAGCAGATACGTTAGCGTAAGGTACTCGAGGTTCCACCAAACCGTTTTGCCCTTGTTTTTTCTCTTGGTGATCGATACGTACTATGTATCAAGAATTACCAAAGTCGCCAGTATTGTGTAGAGCAGCACATCAGAACCAACCGAATTCAGAAATGTGGTATGGATCAAGAGCTAACACACTCACACGCTATCGGTTCTGAGAGCTGACTGCCCGGAGAAGTGATTTTGGCCTCTAGAGCGCCCCTTCTTGTCATCATCGCATTGTTGGCTCATGATCATATTTCCTCCGGTGTCCCTGTTTTGTCGACGAGACGTGATCAAAGATCTCCCGGACCGTATTTTTATAGGGACATCCACTGCTTCAGAAGCATGCGCTGAGCTCTTAGCACGGTACTCGAACGTGCTCGTGAAGACAGTGTGGAGCCCTTCCTTGGGCGGTCTCCCTGCAACAGTTGCCGTGGCCGCCGATATGCAACCCGTCTGGTCAGCCTCAGCCTGCTGTTCTTGTGCGTCACGGGGCGATATCATGACGGCACATGCTGCCTGATACCATGGAAGCCGGCCCGTCTGAATGGCTCTCGCTGGGGAATCGTATACTACCGATTCACAATTTCCCCTTTCTGCCTTCCCGGCCCCCTTTCCCCTATTCCCCTTTCCCCAGCCCACCAAATGCACAACCGTGCCCGGGCGAGGACGTCCTTGACTCGGTCGTTACTCCTGGAGCGTTTACTCTCTACAACCCTTTTGGCCGGCTGCTCATGGCACGTTGTGGAAGTGTCCTGGCAGCTCTCGGCTGCCGTATCTCCCTCTACCTGATTTGTCTCATGTCCCACTCCAGCTATTCGTTCACATGCTTCGCCTTTCAGGTCTAGCTACAAGGCTTGCCGTCGTTTAGCTTAACAAACTGATGCAGGCATCCTGGTTCAAGCCGTGCTCCACTTCGAACCCGCTATTCATGCTTCCTGCTTCCCCGTCCTCTTGGCAACGCCTGAGTCCTTTCCTCGTTCGCCGAAACTGCCAACGCGGGAACCTCACGGCAGTGTAGGAGCAGCTGGATTGACCACCACTCGGCTAGTCGTCCCGTACGGACGGAGATGAATGTCGGCATGGCAGCGGCGCGAGTCACGGCCAACACCAGAGTCGCTTGTCCTCCCCAAGTCTCCACCGGTCCGCAACAGGAAGCTGTCTCTCCTCGTACTGTCGATGGTAACTGTCGAGGGACTGATGCTCAGGGAGACATGATAGGTCCGGGTAGAGTCTCTCCCACACCCTTACTTTTACCCCCTTGCCGCCCTAATCGACCCACACCCACCTAACAGTGTCCGCCGATTTGCAGCCACCCAAGGCAAGTAGTAGGCAAGCAGGTACTGTAGGAGTAGGGGATACCCGGCTGTACATGTGCCCTTGAGCCCAGATTGTTACATCCAATTCTCTGATGCTAGTCTGGTCAGCGACCGCCACACCAGTTGATCGACCAACGCTTCTCAGTCCACCCCAGCTGCCTTGCCGTGTCGAGACTCAGCATCCAGAAGGGCCACCAACATACATCAGCCGAGAAGCCATACAGGAGGATCCAAGAGTCATCTCCGAATGCGTGGAGCTCCCCTTCGAGCAGGGGAATCAAGGTCAGGTTACGAGCGGAACTGGGCAACCTATCTTGGACCGGACGTCTATAAAAGGGGACGTCGATTCCCTTCTTCTTCTGCCAAAATAGACATCTCACCACGCTCTCCATCATCAGTGCGAACCCGAGCCGCGAACTTAACAACTCTGATCACCCTCAACTGTTGCTGCTTCTGCCCCTCCCCCTGTTTGACCAACTCGCCACCTACACAATGTGCAAGCTTGTCACCTTCGTCTACTCGTGCGGCCACGAGACCCCAATCGAAGAAATTCCCTACGCCGCGTGCCGGGCGGGGAATTGTCCCGGAAAGGACTCCGTCAAGGAGTACTGCGCCGGACCCTGCGAAAACTGTGAGTCCCAGCAAGCCGGAAACGTGGGCAGACTCAGGTGCTACCTGTAGATGTCTGGTACGGCCCCTTTCGTCAGACGCAGCCTGAAACTCTGTGCTGCTCTAACACGGTTTTATTATTGAAGACCGCTGCCGGTCGGGACACTAAAGTCTCCTACTTTCCGTCGACTGTTCAAGCATCCTTGCCCGCTCTCGAAGCGCGGCCTGTCAGAACTACAAGATCGAACCAACATACACGATCGAGCAATGATGTTCAATGGTCGAGGACGGGGCGTGTTTTCTAGAGTGGGCGAGCAATCACCGCTGTATCCTGGTTATCAGAGTATGGTATGGGCTGTCGGACATTGTACCGGAACGAACACGAGTTGAGTTTGGTCGAGATAGATTTGCTCCTGTTGTGTTCTTTCCCTTTCCTCTTTCAGTTGCTACTTGCTTCAGCTGGTGCTATGTGCCAAATTGTAGGCATTCAGTGGGAGACTTTCTTTCTCGGTGTGATTATTGGAGGCAGAATAACTAGTATGGCTTGTCATCTCCTTAATAGCTCTGAGAGTTAGCTTATTCTCTGCAAGGACCGAAGCTGTCTTTTTCCTCAATGCGCCTCCCCGCTGCCTGTTTATCCGCAATACCTCAAATGTTTCTGATATGGTGACGACCCTGAGCCCGCGATAAGGTAACAACAGTACAAGGGACGAAGGAGGGTTGTGTACGGGACGAGATTCCCCGGAAGCTGTCACTGCAGTCCAGGACAATGGTTACACCAGGTAGTACAATACCGAGCTTGCTTCGCCTGATGCCCAGTTTACACTGTCTAGGCAGTGGATAGTTAGTACCTAGGTAGTAGGTAGTCGAGACTCAAAAAACCTGCCTAGCTGTCTAGGAGTTTGCTGTTTCTGCTTGGGGCCCACTTCCACTTCCTTCTCAGCCAACCCAATCTCGACGGATGCAAACACCACACCCGCAGCTTGTTTCACCCAGAGCGCGGTGGTTGCGCTGAGTTGCAGATGCACCATGTCACATGAGAGATTAAAGCCAGCAGGTGGTCCGTGCACAACAGTACTTGCGTGTGAGAACCCTTCCAGGGCGGGAAGGATCACAAGCTTTGCCCTGAAGGTGGGTCTCTTGGGGTCAACACATCAGACGGCTCCTTCCCGTCAACATCATGGAACCTAAGTTAACTCAACCCGGCCCGTCCTGCTATCCCATCTGCCACGCCTGCTACCTACCTATCTCCAAAGTGCCAATGCTTTTCTAAACTGTTGCGAAATCACGTTGTTTACCTACTGCAGTGAATTTCTTACTTGCGCTCGGTTTGGGCCGTCCCGTCGCACGCACCCATTAGGGCCTAACTACAAGGATTCCTTCTGCCCAACCGGATCTCGAGAACCGCTTGAAGCATATCAGAATCTTGGATGGCAACCACTGCCACATACCAATACCCGCCAACAGAGCCCCCCCTGCTGCGGATACACGGTATAGCAACGCCGGCAAAATACGAGGCGCGCCGCCACGGTCCGCATTGGTAGGGCAGTTAGCTGGTCTCGGCGCCGTCCGGTAGAAATCGCAGAATGGCGTACTCAATGTGACCAGATGCGGCGGGCTTTGCAGATTCCGTCATGATCAATCACCCCCTTGCATTTGCGGCACAACGAGCAATTGTGCACACAGTGTTCCTATCTTCGCGGCTACGGTTCGGACCTCTGCCAATCAGGCCTGCCGGTTGGAGTCGGCAAAGGCTACGAGGGGGAGGAGGGAGCGTCCACATGTGAGTTTTGAACGGTTAGCCTTTCACGGGGTTCAAACGGGATTCCATACGTAACTATCTACCTGCTTCTGGGAATCGGGAGCCTCAGAGCATGGGAGTCAATACCGGTGGCTATAGAACCTGGCGCCGCTCTGCTTGTGAGGGGGGAAACAAGCCATATACACGACGCCACTGCCCTGTTATCTGAAACCGCAGACGACTGATCACTGACTATACCTACAACGCATCGTGGCGGCTGTCGGTGAAACCCGAGATACTTGGCAGTTCTGATCAAGCAGCAGAACTGCTGAAATATACGGAAGTATTGGGGCTCGACTTTGTCGCGCTACCATTGTTGCCATTGAAGATTTCAAGATGAGAAAGAGAGGGAGAGGGAGCGAAGAGGAGAAACAATAGACGAACCACAGCGGAGCCGAACAGGGACACTGCTACCCTCAAGAGGAACATTGCCCACTTACCATGCTATCCATCTCAGTCCATGATGCTTCACAGGATGCATGTAGCTTTGTGCACGGCGGCCTTTCCCTTCAGCGACCCAATCTCTATGGGTACTGACTTACCGAGACTGCAGAGCTACACAGAAGGACCCTTCGCGGCAGGCTTCTGCCCACCGTGCCTCATCAGAGCGCGGCTATTCCGTGGGCTTGCAATCTCGACCTATCGCCCTACACCCATCTTCAGGGGAAGCACCCCCTGACTATCCGGGGTTGAGGGGGTGTGTTGGTCATGGCAGGAATATGACTGGATCGATGAGAGAGATTGGCGCTTCGGAGCCCGATTCCTAAGCGCAGGTGGCTAGAAGAACATGGCATGGGCAGCCAATCGGGCTCCAGGAGAGCCGGGAGTTCTCATACTGAGACGAACCAACGAGCCAGGCTACTGCATGCCAGGTAGAAAAATGCACGTCCATCGCCGTCCACACGCGATCGGCTCGTGCATGAGGAAGGTTGAGGCACACATCCGCATTATTCAATTGCCCGCTGATGGAACGATGGACTCGGATGGCGTGGAACTGACTATGTACCTGGCCGGCTCACTACTCGTGTCGTCCAGTAGGAAGTTGGAGGGGCTTTTTGGGAAATTTGTCCGACTCCCCAATACTTCCGCAGCGCCGCTTTGGTTAGGTAAATCACCAACACCATCCTTGTTTTGCGGGGGCTGGAGGGGAGAGAACTGCGCGCCCGGCAATCTAGAACTCGCGGGCATCGTTCCGGGACCGATCACGATGCCGGGGCCCGCGGCATGAAGGATGTACTGTACATACCTGAAGTAACGTTTGGGAAAGGGTACACCAGTGGTACTTCGTACATGGCCACCAAATAGGAATGGTTCGAAAGCAAGAGTGGCACTCAACCAGACAATATTCCCACTTTTGACCAGGACTCTGTCCAGGTGACTAACAGTCTGGCCAAGATGTGCATACGTATGTACATTCATGATACGTATCCAACCAGTCACGGAACTGGTTGTCTTCACAGCCACGACTGGTAGTTTGCGAAGTGAACTGAAAATCAGGGCCGGATCATCCCATTAATTAGTCCAACGAACGACGAGGACGGACAAGCGACGGTTGAGTGACGGGGGCTGTTAATTACACTGTACGTCCCTGTCCGACTGGACCCGACAGTCTGGTAACTTGGTCCGTGCATAGTGATGCAACCCTCTGTAGACAGCCAATGATTGGTCGATGACCTTTAACAGCATACGATACTGACACTGTGCTGGGTTCTTGGCCCACCGCTGAAGTGCCTCTAAAGATCATTTGCTTGCAAGTACCCCAGCTTGTCGCACTGTGCTAGACAAAGCGCTCAACCTCAACCACATGGCTTCGATGGTGCCTGCAGCGTCATCAAGAAACAACATCGGGAATACCCGATGGAGCATTTGCTTGTTTAAACCTTGCGATTTTTCTCCATTCTCACTCCCCTTCGCAAGAGAGCCCCCAAAGCATACTAGCAATTTATTGGGCTCTAAGATTTAGGTGAGGCTGTGAGGACGTACTAGGCCTTCACTGATGCGGCCACCGTGACAACGGCCAAGGCTGAGCTCACGCTCGCACCTTAGCACCAAATACCATACGCCCACCTTGAGCATTGAGCGATTCGCTCATCAACTCTAGACTCACAACAGAGTCTGCTCTGAGAGGACGGGATTTATCAACCATTACCTAACTGGCCAGCGAGGCATGGCTCTGTCACTTGTACCAAGGTCGATCTGCTCTGGCTCCGGATATTGTGGAGCGCCGCGTCCTCAATTCACCCTCGGATCCCCCGGTGCGCCTCCACAAATTCCCCCAAACCTGCTCGTCTGCAGATATCGAATTACCCACCGATAGTACCTCCTAGGCAGTCATAATAAAATATCAGGAAATCGCCGGGTACCGCCTACGTATCCCACAAGTTCTTCGCCTGGTCCGAGTGAATCATCGCCCCCCTAAGCCCCGGTATGATGCCCAAAGGATCATGACCCGGCCGTTTGCCCAACGAGCATACACTATGAGGACAAGCGCGGGTATAAGAAAGTTTTTTAGTCTTCGGAATACGGATACCTCCGCCCGATCCGAGAGGGTCGGGGCAGCCCCATCTGTACTGGGCAGTGACGTTAACCCGGGAGCCCCCATACGCAAGGCAAGGCAAGAAGATGAGCAAGCGAAGGGGAAGGGCGTTCGATCACACGGTCCAACCTGACATAAGGCGATCCTTCCTACCCAACTCAGGGAGAATGGAAAAAGGGGCTGTGGTTGAAGACCAAGTCCCCTGTCACGCCCCAAATCATTTAGAATGCAGTAAATCTGTCCATGAACCTTTGTTTCTGAGTCATGACCTCTACTGTAGCCCATGTCAACCCGCCAACCTTCACGGTCACCAGTTGCCCTTGACTGACTTGCGGGAGTGATCGTCTGGCTGAGCATTGTAGTAGTGGTACTGTACAGCACAAGTTTACACAGCCCCCTTTCCCCTGCCGTCCAGACCGGCTGGCTTTCTTGATCGCTCTTCCCAGCCAGATAATGCCCCTGGACTCGTTAGCTGGGTAGCCCATTCATCACACATCTCTGTCTCCCATCTTTCCGCTCACTCTCTGTTGCAAAGAATCTTAGCCAATCTGATGTCTCACGTACGCCCGCTCCAACGTAGAATGTATTGTGGGCTTGTTTTGTTTTGGGAAGAGAGTAAAAAGCCAGCAGAAATGCGCCTCTAAATGGGGAGGACACCAATCCTCCATTTTCAGAATCCTTGTGGCATGTCCTCTATCGGACCGGAGAACCGTAGAAAATGAAATTAGCACTCGCGCCCTCGCTCCTGGTTATATAACACCCTCAAGGTAAAGCATCAAACGCCGCGGTAATACCCTGGCATCCTCCTCCCTTCTGACATCCAAAGGTCAAAGGGGCATGTCGTTTAGCCTCGTCGCTCGCCAGATCGTTCCTATCAGACTCGGAAGGACATCAATCATTCGTCGGAGAGGTGGGTGAGCTACAAGTTTGCGCGGTTAGAATTCATTGTAGACTCAAATGTTGTACTGTTACACAAGTACTTACTACTGGTCACCACCTCCTCCGGACGGGCCACGGCCCGGGGTCCTCGGCGAGAATGAAGGCGACGTTGGGGAGTAGCCAGGGCTGGTCGGAGACATCTGCTGCCCAGGCGACCGTTGGAACGACGGGCTCGTCGGCGAATAGGCATCAGGTGAAGTGGGCGACCACGTCGGCGACGCAGGGGAGTACGACGGGGAAGTGGCATGCAGATTCGGCGACGCCGGGCTGTAGCTAGGACTCGTCGGGGAGTAGGACGGGGACGTTGGCGAGTTGAACTGCGCCGGGGAAGTGGGTGAATAGTGCCGGGTCGCTGCGGGTGACGCAGGCGAGTAGCTTGGCGAGGTAGGGCTGTAGTTGGGGCTAGTGGGGCTTCCGGGCCGCAACATTGGCGAAGTAGGTGAGAACGAAGGTGACGAGGGGCTGAATTGCGGGCTAGACGCATAGCGGCCTCCAGCATCGATAAGAGGCGATGTAGGTGAATAGCCAGCTGGCGACGATGGCGAATAGCCACCGTAACCAAATGGTGAAGTTGGCGATGTGGAGAACGGGCTGGTAGCACGCGGGCTGGTCGCATAGGGATTGACAGTGCTCGAACCAAAGCCGCCGCCGTACTCGGTCGTGAAGCCAGTTGGGCTGTCGGAGCCCGCGCCTTGGATAGGCGAGAAGTTGCCCATGGTAGGAGAATAGCTCCCCAAATACCCGCTGTCGGCCATTGGGGAACCTGTATCGTAAGGGGTCGCCGCGCCTTCCAGCTGCGTTCCCTTGAGCGACATGCCGGGCATCAGGCCCATGCGGGAATTGTCCGAGATGACCGTCTCCAACATCTTGGGGTCAAGGAGCACATCAAAGTGGCCGGTACCCATAGGAGCCATTTGGCCCAGCATGACGTTCTCCGAAATACCACGACAATCGTCCAGTTCGCCGACAGCAGCGGCCTCGAGGAGAATCTCCACAGTTTCCTCAAAGGAGCAGCGCATCAAGGCGCCCGTGTCAGCACGGTTGATGCCGTGTCGAGTCACAGCAGCGATACTACCGCGATACGTCATGACATCGACAAGAAGCGCCATATGCCGATGGTTAACGTAGGAACCACCGAAAGCAAGCACTTGAGTTAGCTCGTGCATGAGGGCAGCCCGAGCGGCTTCTATTCCAAGCACATCCACAATCTGATAGAGGTCGTTGGTGTATGTGCGCTTGGTATCGACCCCGTCGATGGTCAAGACGTCTCTCAGAGCTGTACCCTGGGTGTCGAGATACCACTCTTGACACTCAACCTTCTCCTTGTTAGCCACTTGTGAGCCATCAGGTAGCTCGACCAGCCTGGTGCCCTTGTTCAAGAATGCGCGCTCGATACCCGGCACACCGCGGAGGGTGCAGGAGTCGAGAAGATGTTTCTCAAGTCGCTTGAGCATCACATCGTCCTCGATGATCTTGTTCCCGTCCTCATCCTTATCGTCTTCTTCGCGGATGACCCGCACGCGAATAACCATCTCCTCTGCGTTATTGTCACTAAAAATCACCGCAATGTCGCCCTGGTATTCGCTCTTGATGCTATGCGCCACGTCCTCAACACGAAGACCCTTGTCAAGCATCTTTTGCCGGTCGAGGGTGATTCTCAACAGCCATCGTGATTGACGCTGGATGTCTTGTTGCTGATCCGAGTCTGAAATCAAAAAGTACGACTCGACCATGTCAAAATCCTCGGGAATGGTTGTCGTCGTAATGTCCGGATCATAGTAGATCTCCGTGATCGCAGTGACGGAACGGAGAGAAGTATGCTCAACAGCATTACGCAACTTCTTGGCGGCCTCCTGGGTCGCGCTCTCGGAATCCAGGTAGACAACCATGGATGGCGTCTTGATGTCCTTTGCCACGTTGAGAATTTCCTTGAGACGAGGAACACCAAGCGTGACGTTTTTGGACGACACACCGGCAAAGTGGAAGGTGTTCAGTGTCATCTGTGTGGCCGGCTCTCCAATGGACTGGGCTGCCAGCACCCCAACCATCTCTCCAGGGGCGACCATTGATCGAGACCACCGATTCTCCAACTCGCCTAGGACGTGGTCGAAGGCCAGCTTGTTTAGCCGCTGTTCGACGGCGAGACGCTTATAAGCCAAGCGCGAGCGCAGCAGAATCTTGAAGAGAATGGTTGAGTTGTAGTCAGCTTCTTGCGAGATCGGATCGTTGCCACGGACGGCATACAGTCGATCAAGCAGGGCCTGAACGGCTGGGATCACGTCCCGGGGTGTGAGGTCGCTCCGCTGAGTCTCGTCAACCTTGAAAAGCTTCTTGGCAGTCTCAATAATGCGGGCCACATTGAGCGGAAGCTGCATGCTCTCGTCGGCCAGCCTTCGACGATTGATCTGCCGCACGAGCTTGCGATCAGCCAACAGCTGCTCATACTCTTGGTCCAAGAGTTGCTGTACTGCTGGATCGCTAGCCATCTCTTTGCCGTATTCCAAGGCTTCAAGAGCGGAGCCCGAAGTTGCCTCGTCCATGACGTCCAAGCGAAACCGCTTGTCAAAGGCGCTATTAGACATGTTGATGTGGTCCACGCGTTGCTTCTCAATAGCGGCTCCATCCAAGCCGTCCTCGCCGTAGATGAATTGGATAATATCGCCGAGCGAATTCCGCACCGTCCCATCGTAGTGCGCCTCAGCATCCTCAAGAGCCTTGACAAGTCTGCGCTGGATATAACCCGTCTCTGCTGTCTTGACAGCAGTATCGATCAAACCTTCCCTACCAGCCATGGCATGGAAGAAAAATTCGGACGGCGTCAGGCCGCGGAGATATGAATTTTCAACGAAGCCCCGCGCCTCGGGAGAATAGTCGTCCTTTGTGAAATGCGGGAGGGTCCTGTACTTGAAACCGAACGGGACACGCTTTCCCTCGACGATCTGTTGACCGACCAAGGCGGACATCTGCGAGATGTTGATTGAGGTACCCTTGGATCCCGACCGAGCCATTGTCACGGCATTGTTGAGATCCTTGAGACTCTTTACGGCCGTCGTGCCGGCTTTATCACGGGCAGTGTTGAGCGCAGTCGAGACCTTGTTCTCAAAAGTCTCCCGGATATTCATGCCGGGTAAAGCTTCCAGCTCGTTGTTGGTAGCCATCACCGTCAGACGGCGCACTTCTTCCTTCTCCTTGTCTATGTGCTTCTGGACAAGCTCGATGGTTTCGGCGTCGGGAATGGTGTCGCCGATACCGATGCTGTGTCCATTGTGGTAAAGCCAGTAGTTGACTACCCTCTGGCAGCCATTTAGGAAGTCCATAGCCCCCTGGGGACCAAGTTCATTGAAGCAGAGATGGACAATACCGCCACCCGAAGCGCCGACGCTCTTCTTCGTTAGCAAACCGAACATGATCTCTCCTTGTTGAATCAAAAGACCGTCATCCTGGAAAGGGTGGTCCTTGTCTTTCTCCTCCGAGGCCATGTAGAGGTTGATGATCTTGGGAATGACCATGCCAATCATCTGCTTGCCAGTCCACCGAGGACGAGGCTTAAGGATTGCCGGGAAAGGGATAATGCCATCCCAATCGGGAACCCAGAGCATGATGTCCATCACCTGTTCCTTGGTGAGGAAGACATCACGCCGGCAGAGCTTGTAAATACCGGCCAAAGTGTCCTGGACGATACCCATGAGAGGGCCGTTCCTCTGTGGCGACACGATGTTCAAAGGGACCATGCAAAGTTCCTTGACTTCTGCGCGTGTCTCCTCGGTTTGAGGTACGTGCAGGTTCATCTCATCACCGTCGAAATCGGCATTGTAGGGAGATGTGACAGACAGGTTGAGGCGGAAAGTGGAATACGGCATCACCTTGACCCTGTGTCCCATCATGGATTCTTTGTGCAGAGATGGCTGACGGTTGAAGATGATGTAATCTCCATCAACCAGGTGGCGCTCAACCTTCCATCCATACTCGAGCTGAATAGAGCCAGCACGTTTATGGTGCCGAAGATCGACACGAGTGCCATCAGAGCGAATGATGTACTTGGCGCCCGGATGCTCATTCGGACCGTTCTGGACGTACTGGGTGAGCTTGGCAATGTTGTAAGGCGTGACAGTCTCGGGATATGTCAGGGTGCGGGCGATGCTACGGGGCACGCCGACCTCGTCCAACGAGATGTTGGCATCACCGGTGATGACTGTACGAGCAGAGAAGTCGACTCGCTTGCCCATCAAATTGCCTCGCAGACGGCCCTCTTTTCCCTTGAGACGAGCCCGGATGGCCTTGACGGGTCTTCCGCTCTTCTGCAATGCCTGGGGTTGACCAGCGATGTCATTATCCATGTAGGTAGCAACGTGGTACTGAAGCAGGTTCTCGAAATCGGTGATGATGTGCTGGGGTGACCCCTCCGCAATCGCCTGTCGGACATTGCCGTTGGCACGGATGATATCACCAAGCTTGTAGGTCAAATCGTCTTCGTTCCGCAAGCCAGTTCCCGTGCCATCCATGGAAATACTGGGGCGCACGGGAGGTGGCGGCACAGGGAGGACAGTGATGATCATCCACTCTGGCCGAGCTTGTGAGATGTTAAGACCAATGTCGAGCATCTCCTCATCGCTCATGCGGCGGAAGATGTTGAGCGCCATCTCAGGCGTGATGAGCTTCTTTTCTTTTGTCTTGACACCATCTTCGTCTTTAACCTCGAGATGTCCCCAAAGAGTAAGGGCTTGTTGACGGATCGTCGGTTGAGCGTTGCCGCAACCGCCATGGCCTCCGACCAAAACGTCTGCTCCATCGCCGTTGGGATTGAACTCTCCATCCTCCTGACCCTTGGGAGGATCATTATCGCACTTTTTCTTGCTCTTGCAGATGTCCCAAACCCGCTTGAAGCGAACTTTTGGGTCTCGGACCTTCATGGCCGCAGCATACTGCGGATCAGACTAGTTCAGGTCAGCATCAGCCACACAAACACACTACCCATCGAGGTAGGGTGCACTAACTCTATCGGCCAACACCTTGCTACAGTTGTGGCAGACGATTTCGAGCAGCTTCTTTGTGCGCTTGATGAAGCCAGGGTGGTAGACTGGCCGGGCCAGCTCGATATGACCGAAATGGCCAGGGCACTCGGACATGTTCTCGGTGCAGGTCTTGCACTTGAACTGCCTGTCAACAGATCCAAGCAGAGGATCGTTAAGACCGCCATCGCGAAGCTTTGTCCGGGTCTCGTCCATAGTCTCGGGATAGAGAATATGGGCTACGCTCATAGCCTTGATCTCCTCAGGAGATAGCAGGCCAAACTGGATCTCCTTGATGGTCCGGAGCGGCGCGCTCGAGTGCGGGAAGATTAGATTCGCCATTTTGATGCAGCGGTAATGACGCAAATGTTACAGTCGAAGAAAAAAGAAAGCAAAAGGAACGGCCAAGATGCAGAGTCGACGAAAAGCAGACCGATGGCGATGATGGTTAAGAGGGTCAAGCGAATGGTCGTCGCGATTGCGGCGCGCGAGCCAAACAGCACGCCTGAAATGGAGAATTTCCCGTCGAAGAAAACCGATAGGGCGGCCGGATCCGAAAACTCTGGGAACACCTTGGCGATGAAGAGAACGCGGCGAGATGGGTTATGGAGATGGTCTTGATGGACTCATCCGCTGGGCTATCCAGGCCAGCGGCCCCGAAGGAGCGGTCGTTAAAACGTCGGCGCCTCCAGTCTGGTTACGGCTCGAAAGGAAATGGGAAATCTGGTCGAGATTCGCGATTGGCGCTCAATATTCTTGTCGAGGAGATGCAGGCGACAAGAATTGGGGCGTTGCGGACGCGATCTGCAATGTCCGCGACGAAGTTGTTGAGGGATGGTTTTCTGGGGAAGGCGGATGGCGTCGCCTGGACCTGAAAAGTTCGACTGGAGTTGTTAACAAAGCGAAGCAAGAGGGAGGCGTGCGCTAATCCCGATTCGATTATGACCCACTTTTAAAACAAAGCGACAACCGTTGAGTGGGCCAAGATACGGCCCAGATGCAGCCTCAGCAAAGTACTTGTACCTTACGGAGTACTCCGTACATTCTCACCGAGTGACTCCTCATATCATATTCATCTTTTTGCCTGCAGGTATTGTTGGGTGTCAACTGCATGTAGGAAGTCAAACCTTATCCTCAATACAGTATTAGCCTGCTGGGAGCTGGTAGTTCCTGGTCCGAGGAACCAGACGCAGGTACTGTATGTACATACAGTATTAGGTACCTCCGTACCCAGGTATGTATGTACAATACAATAAATTTCCTTACATACCTGTGCCCTTAGCAACCTGAATTACCTTGCGGAAAGTATCCCTAGACAGAGCCTGGGGCATCCTTCGCGCTTTCACAAGCACTGTGGTGAGCTTTCACTATGCGGGCCAAAATCTGTCATTTGTAACTGAATATACAACCCGACGTCTCGAAACAGCCATACAAGGTGCAGAGAATCAAGCGAGTCCTTCATTGCTCAGATAGACTATTTCTTCCTCCCCCGTCCTCGTCCTGGACCGCCTGTCTTCTTTCCTGGCCCTCTGTCTTCTCCTGTCGCATCATCCCCACCATCCTCGTCCCCAGGACTCTTTCTACGCAGCGTCCCAAGCGAGACGTTCACAAATTCTTCCTCGCTATCTGACTCTCCCAAATTGAAGAGTATCGGCATCCGGAATGCATCCTCATCCTCCCCTAAGCCCCCCCCATTCGCCACGGTCAGAACATCGACGTCCTCGTCTTCCTGGTCTAACCGCCGTTTTTGGATTTCCTCCTGCGGATGGATGTCGAATTCGTCTTCTCTCTCGATGTATTCGACGTTCTCCTCCACCTCGACGAAATCGGGAGCAAGTGCCGACCACCTCTGAGGGCTTGTGACGGACCAAATGTTGATTCTGCCCGTCTCGAGACCACATGCCGCTAGCAGCGCTCTGTGCGGGTGCCATTCTATGACACCTTGCTCCTCCTTGGGCCCCTCCAACATGCGCACCAAACTCCCATGCCCACGCTCCCAGATGTAAAGCTCGTGATTGTTATAGGTTGATGCCGCCACATACTCGCCTGTTGCGCTAAAAGCCACGTGGTTCCACGATAACCTGTTCACCACGTCTTGAAACTTGTGCTCGAGGGGTATCTGAATCGTGTCTGGATCGAGGTCTGCTGCGGACAAGTTGGGTACATGGAACGTCCGTATGATGCGGTCTTGGGCGTTCACAAGAAGGTCCTTGCCGGATTCTGTAAGGCGTAGCGTGGTGATGATACCGCTGGCAATCTTCTCCGAGTAGATAACCTCGCGTGTCTTTGCATCGATGATATTGAGGCGGCCCTTGCTTGTCCCAGCGAGCAGGTGGTCGCCTGTCGCGGTATAGACTATTGCTGTTGTCATGTGCTTTGCATCCTCCTTCGCTTGCTTCTCTTTTAGGGCAGCGTCGGTCTCCGGGTTTGATCGTTTCGGCACTGAGGGTAGGACGTATCGAACATCGGCCGAGTCCGTGATGTCGACGAGCATCGGCTGGTCTTCAAATAGTGCCGCAGCAAACTGGTGGCTGCAGGATGTCAGTTCGCACGCATCAACGAGGATTACTCGGGTTGAACAGACTGATTCCACGGATGTAGCTCGGCACCGTAGACTGGAGCACGAAAGCGCACCTCACGGTATCTTTTCCCGTCCTGGAGATCCCATAGGATCACCTTCCACCCCTGGCATGCCGAGAGCAAATACCGGCCGCACCGAGACCAACTGAGTGAGGTGATGTTCTTTGAATGGCCCCTTAGCTTGCGCGCCACTCCCATGGTCTCCAGGTCCCAGATGACGACAGTTCCGTCAACTCTCCCGGATGCGAGGAAATCGCCCTTGCGGTTGAAGCGCACGCATGTTGAGTGCCCGGACCGAATCGTATTCGTGATGTGTTCGGGGTAGTCTTGAAGGAGATAGTCGTCAGAGAGTAGAAGGTTCATTTCTGCATTGGAATCAGCATCTCTATCTTTGTGTAGTTCAAGCTTACCTCCCTACATACATAGTAGAGGTTCACCTTACCCAGCTGAGTACCTATCGTAGCGCGCGTGCAACTTCCGCGGGCACTACCTAGGGCTGCAGAAAGCCCCGCCGAGCCGCCTGGAGCGACGGGATCTAGCGGTGGATCTGCTGAAAATGGGATGCCAAGCACCCCACAAGCTCAGCGCACGCGGCAATCTCTAGTGCATTGCGGGGTCCCGGTCCCGCCGTCAAGCTCCCGCCTGACCCTGCCGCCCGGAGATAGAGTCGGTAGGTATATTACCTGCTCAAAGTTCCACAGCACTCATAGGTCCAGCGATGAAGAATGAAAAGTCACAGAGAAACATAGACCCGAATCCTTGGCACGATGGCCAACTCCAAGTAAGCTGGCCTCAGTCTGACGCAAAACACATGAGAATCACTAATTTCAAGTACAAAGATTTGAATATGTCAAGCAATTTGAGCAGCCTGATAACATCCTGCCCAACACATGGGTTGTGGTGAGAATCGATGGACGGGGTTTTACGAAGTATGCCTCTGCTGAACGTCTCCGTTTGAGAAGATTCCTTTGTGTCTGACCAGAACCCAAGGTTTGCAAACAAATATGGCTTTGAGAAGCCAAACGACAAACGGGCACTCGAGCTCATGAATGCTGCTGCGCGGGCGGTCATGGCCGAACTGCCGGACATCACCATTGCCTATGGAGTCAGCGATGAATACAGGCATGATCTTGTCAAGGGTCCCAAAGGAGCCAGCGGTGTGCTGACATGCCAAGCTAGTTTCGTCTTTCACAAGACATGTGTGCTTTTCGAGCGGCGATCTAGGTAGGCTGGCAAGAGTCTGCTACTTGGCTTCCCTGGCTGAGTCGTTTCAGCAAGCTGGTTTCGACAATCGTCTCGACCTTCACCGCATACTATGTCCACTATTGGCCGACCTACTTCCCAGATACTCCGTTATCCCCGCCCCTGCCCAGCTTCGACGGCCGAGCCGTGTGTTATCCCAGCGTGCAGAATCTGCGAGACTACATGAGCTGGAGACAGGTTGATTGTAAGTACCACCTGCCGGGCATGTCTTGAGTGCCGGGATGCTAAACCAACAGGTCATATTAACAATCTTTACAATACAACTTTCTGGGCCCTCATTCAGTTAGGCGGGATGGATGCCACGGAGGCCGAGAAGACACTCAAGGTTTGGGATATTCACCATCCGGTGCACAAGCCGCGCACATCCTAACCTGCAATGAATCAGGGGACGTATGCTGCCGACAAGAACGAGATTCTCTTCTCCCGATTCAGCATCAACTACAACAATGAGCCCGAGATTTACAAAAAGGGCAGCGTCGTCTTCCGGGATGTGAGTGCATCATGGCATCCCCGACTGGTGCACCAACGGTAGCTAAGTCATGGCGAGTAGTACGAGCCGGTGGAGCCTGGAACACACAATGCTGCCGCCGAAGCCGACAGTCTGGCCGTCCCGGTCCAGCAATCAAAGACACAGAACGAGACGGACAGAAAACGGCGAGCAAAGGCGCCTATTGTGGTAGAGCACCTTGATATTATCAAGGACGACTTCTGGGACCGCCGGCCGTGGCTGCTATCAAATAAGCCGGGCAAAATTCCCAAAGAGGTTTGAGCCCCAGCCTGGCACAGGCAGAAGCGGTCGCCCATACCTAGCTAGTCCAGCGGTCTTGCCTCGGCTGCCGGGTCATCCCTCGTGGACGAATAGATCGGGTCTGCAACGACCTCCAGTATAAGGTTGGGCAAGTCGAGCTAGTGTAGATGTCGCTGCTCTATATGTCGCTGGCGGCATCTGACTCTCAATCGTGCTGCTACCGCCGCGACCTTGAACTGCCCCTTGTGGTGAAGCATAGGTACCATGGACGGGGGGATGAAACTCCTTCAACCCGAATCTGGTAGTTTCAACTTTTCTTCCTCTCGTCTTTTCCTTTTTGCCTCTTTCCGCGCCCTCCTCTCTGCCCTCCTCGCGCGTCTCTCCGCCTTTGTCTCACTGGCTTTCCTGGACTGCTTCAGCGCCTTTTTCGCGGCCTTGTCGGCAGCCTTACGCGCCGCCTCGGCCTCGGCAGCTTTTCGTGCAGCCTTCTCCGCCTTGCGTAGCCTCCTCGCCGCCCTCCTAGCCTGCTTCTCCGCCTTGCTCTCGGTCCTCTTTTCTTTTCTCGATACAGACGTCTCGCTATCTTCCGAGCTCGAGGGCGTCGTGCCGGCCGTCGATGGTTCGCCCGGTGCTTGCAGAGTGCCCTCGAGCATGCCGCCCCGCACGAAGGACGCGTACAGCCCGCTCGCGCCCCTGTACTTGCCCGTGGGCTGGCTGCTGGCGACAACGTCCAGCTTACCCTGCTTGACCGACTGCACCACGGTGCCCTTTTTGGAGGTGTCGAGGCCCTTGAGCTTCTCATCAAAGGCGTGCAGCCACCATTGGTCGCTTGTGTAGTGCTGCTTCTGGCCTACGCCGCGGCCGTCCGTGTTGCGCGACAGCAGGATCGGCTTGGTCAGGCCGATGGTGTTGTCGGTGGGGTGCAGGGAGAAGCCCTTGCCCCGCCAGCCCTGGGACTTGAGGAGAGCGGCGGCGTCCATTGGGTGGTGAATATTTCGGTATAGTCTGTCCGGCCGGCTAGGTTATATCATGGTTGGAGCTGTTGCTGCATTGTGAGGCAAAACGTCAGGTCTGGCGGTGCTCATCTGTTGACGACCTAGAAAGCCAAGAGTTCAAAATTTGGGCCATGTGTGGGTCGTTCAATTGCACTGCTGTATTGTATTTGTTTGTAATTTCGGTACGACGTTATCCATACCGTATCATTACTGTCCTGCGTCTAGGGTACTCTGTAAATTACATCAACTTTGGCCCTTGGCAGGAACATGTGGCATCTCGAATTCAAATGGCCGCTTCGACATCATTGCACAAGGCGACCAATTTTCTCACCATATCCTCCAGTACTCTCATGATGCGGAGCTCAAGGCAACCACCATACTCCGCTGTTGAAGTGCCTATATTAGGTGTATGTACAGTACACGAGCCAAAGCAGGCGCTAATACTTGATGCGCGATGGGATACATGGTCATCGTCGAGTCTACGGACATTTGGTCTCAAATCTGTGCTGGGAAGGCGGAGGCTGGACCAGAGTCACCAGACAATTTGCACGAGGCCCAGTCTTGACGCTTGGAATCTGCAGGGTACAAAGGCTCTGTTAAAAGCGGTAGTCGAGAGGACGATTTTTGCATACAAAATTTTGGCCCTCACTAACAGATCGCCAGTCGCGGTGCCTCTAGCAGACTTAAGTTGGATACATGTCGGATTGTGCCCTGCAGCGTCTGCATTGCAACCCCGTCCTGATCGCCTTCTACCCGACTATTTCTCCCAGACTATGTGACCGACCACTGCGTTTGCAGCACCCTTGATGGACTCCCATTTGAAGTTGGGGTATGCAAACAAGTCGCCATCCGTTACCATGCCATGCAGACCAATGCCGCGTACCCACGAGGACGGAAAGGGGCCTTTGCGCAGCGCCAACCCAAACAAGCCGACGGCCGTATTCTTTGTGGCGTACACAATGAATAGCAAAATCTGGGACGCGACGATGTAAATCTTCAGCGAATTGATGAGCATCCTTAGCAGGATATGCCTGACAAACCCAACCAGCCCCTCCGCCGGCAGGATGTTCAGCAAGCCGTAGGCCATGGACCCGGTGCCGAGCAGGACACTGATCAGCAGCCAGCAGGCAATGAAGTATGCGACCCAAGGCAGTTCTCTTGGGAGCCGCCAGCTGTCATCCCGTGTCTTTTCGCGAACCCACTCTTCCAGCGTTGGCCGTTCTTCATACTGCTCCCCGGGCTGGTCGATCCGTCCACAGTAGTAGACGGCCTGGGCTTTGAAAAGAGTGGTGATGTGCTGGCCTTCGGCGGTACCGCTAACTGGATCCACCGTGACTCCTGACGCGAAGCGCTGCAGCATGGGCCAGACGACTATTTGGACTTTAGCTAGACGGGACGGGTGCCGGAAGCTGTTGGGCGTGTTCAAGTCGTCTGCATCCTGCTCGTCGACATCGCCCCAGGCAGGGCTCCGCGGTGGTGTGATCACATTCAGGAGACTCGTGACCAAGGCCCGACCACGCTCGCCGATAGTCAACGGCCTGGGCGACTCCGCTCGCTGCCTTGACCCACGGCGCCGGGCCCTGTGCCTTCTTTCGGCAGCTTTATCAGCTTCGTCAGTCAGTGCCTTGGACTGCTTGTAGATGGTATCGTCGACATGCTCCTGGTCGAGATCCCAGACCTCTCCGGGAAAGGGGGACGAGAAGCGGAAAATGTCGCGGGACCTGCGGATGCCGATGGACATATACGCCGCCTGGGACACAAGGGCGTGGAGGTCCTGGTGGATGCTTCGCAACGACGTTTCCCGGCTGGCCGGGAAGTGCTTGTCCAGGAGATGAATCAGGGACAGAAGCAGCGTCGTGAGCTGCAGGGCGAGCCGGTCGACACAGGGCCAAAAGTCAGGCGTCAATATGTCATTGGCCATGATCGCATGAACGGTCCTTGAGCGCAGCTCGGTACGCTGGTACCCTATGTGTTGGTTAGCAAGTTCCTAGAGATATTTTCTAGTCCCAAATACAGAACTAAAGGTAGATACTCACCCTCCATGTCAAGAGTACACCGATCCTGCGCTTCAAGCATCCTCCTCTGCTCCGCATCGGCCCCAAAGAGCAACTCATCAAAGACGCACGTCTCCAACAGTTTTCCAATGATGCCAGTGACAAGATACTTCCTGTGTAGCCCCTTCGCCAGCAGCGCGTCCCATCCACCCGCGTGGATATCCTGCTTGGCGATCTTCGCCACGTACCAACGAAACTGGCTCGAAAACGCCGCCTGCATCCAAACGCTCCCTTCTCCTCCGGGCTCTGCAGCAGACCCGGCCGGTATATCCCCGTACATGAAATACTCGTCGGCAAACTCGCCCGCGCGCACATACAAGTGCGTGTACACCATCTCATACCAGCTACTCTCAAGCTCTACCCGCGGCCACTCAATCTCAAACCGGGTTCTCGTGGGCCGCCACACCCCGCTGAGCAGCTCTTCCAGCCCCCGCTGCCGCTGCCGCTGCCACGGGAGTCGGAATGGGACTGAAAATGGGAGAGAGAGCGAGCGCATGCCAGGCAAGAAGGTTTCGCCAAAGGGAAGCTGACCCAACCAGCGCCTTTCGCCCCATTCTTCATCTCCTTCATCTCCCTCATCCCCCTCTCCTCCTCGTCCCTCAGCAGGAGGGGAACGATGCCTAGAAGCGGGTCGCAACAGGCTGTCTCGGATGCCGAGGCGGCTGGCGCGCCGCTCATGCAAGGGATCATTGGCAGCGGCCTCGTACTCGCCGCCAGGCGGGATCCAGGGGAGGCCGCCACTGCGGCTGCGGCTCTGCGCCGCCGCGCTTTTGGCCCGGACAGTACTGGTACCGTCCTTTCTTTGTCTGGAACGGGCTTGACGGCCGCCGCGCTCCGTGGCGGCAGAGCTGACGACGCGGCGTGTGAAGTTTGGATCGTAGCCGTAGCTGTGCTCAAAGGCGCCGCCGCGGAGGCCGAGGCCGGGACTGCTCGGGTCAGACGTCGAGTTGGCGGGATTCATTTGTGCTTGTTTGAGAAAATCAGTCAAGCTTGGAGGAGGTACCAATGGATTACTTGGGCCGTCTGCCGCTTGGTGAGGGTGTCTGTGGTGGTGGGGTTTAGGAGAAGAGTACTCCGCCGCTGGGCCCTATTTCTTAATCGCACTTCTCTGTCGATGCTTGACGAAGCCTAGGGTGTAAACCCTGACGGCCGTATCGCCGTAGCAGTGCGCTGTGATGTAATGCGTGTTTCTTGCTAAGCGACCGCGGCCTCGCGTTAGAGTCGGAATGGGGAAGAGGCTTGGAGGTTCTCTGCGACGATGGGTTGAAGTGGGATAGCTCCGGAATTCCATTCTCGCAACTGTGTAATATTTCCGAACCCTCAGGGAGAGCTACCTACATGACCGGTCTAAGCTACAACAAAGGGCTTGACGGAAAGGGAAATCGGCACAAAGAAATCCAGCAGGAGGTGGAAGGAGATAGGCCCCATAACCGTCCCACTCTCATCAAACCGACGCCCATGATGCCCTTCAACAGTACAAGGGGCGAATGCCAAGGGTAATTGATAGGCTCTTCTCGCCTTTGTCCCTACACGTATTGCTCACAAAAGACACAAAGACTGCTGCTTGCGCATGTATGCGGGCGTAAAAAGCACCCTTCCCAATCCCAGAACTCCACGATCATGATTCCATGGCCACCCTAGCCGGGGTGAAAGCCTAGACAGAGAGTAAACACATCCCGCCCATCCCGCCCATCCCGCCGTGACTCCAGTAAGGATCCCCTCCCTTCGCTCGAAGACAGACCTCCAGACTCCCGATATTTGATTAGTATGCCTTCATAAGATGGGCGTTGATTGTCATCCTCTCTAGCTCACACTCTGCCCCGTTGAACAACTTCTGTCCTTTGGGAAGGGCAGCGATCACCGCTACATTGATGATGTTTGTTCCCTGCTGCAAGGGAACGTCGAAGACCAGGGCATTGAGCGGCAGAGGGTCGTCGGGGATGGGCAGCGGAGTCGAGCGCCCCAATGTTTGGTTATTGAGGGTGACAAACAATCGATATGGACGGCCCTGTTGCTCGAAGGATGCCAGCCGGGGAATAAGCTGGAGTCGGTTGTGGATACCCGGCAGATGCACAGAAATGTTCTGCTGTGCCTCCTTCGGGTGAGCCGGAATCTCTAGCCTGAACCTGCGGTCGATGGCTATGCCTGGATGCGTCCGTATCAAGACGCTCGGCAGGAGAGCATCGGGGAGACCTGGCGAAGGCATTAGTATGACGGGCGTCGGTGGCAGTGAGCAGTCATGGGCAACTTACCCCTACCCGGAGCGCGGTATTTGTTATCATACAAAGGCGGGGGCGGAGGTGCTGCGGCTGCGGCTACGGGATGGCCATTCGGCTGCTGGGGGACGGAAGAAGCCTGCTGTAAACCTTGAGCAGGCGGTGAGACCCCGTTCGGGACATTTGTCAAGTTTGGCATCATGCCGTTTGATCGCGGCAGTGACACCGGTGATTGTTGAGTTACCATCCCGGGCATAGCGCCAGACACAGATGGGCTGGGCTGCACGCCGGATGTGGATGGGGCTGTGAGAGTGTCGGGCTGAGAGCCGGCATTGGCTACGGTCGCTCTGGGTGGCACACCATTGCGGTTGATATCCGCGGCGTTGCCAGGACGTCCCGAGTCGCTGGACTGGCCAGTTTGCGGCGCTGGCGAAGCTCCCGCACTGCCTCTGGAACCCGCAACGTGGATCGTGATCTTCTTAGCTCCGGTCACGGGGGTCTCTTGGCCGGGAGTCATTTTGACCTTGATTTTGGTAGGCTGGGGTGGCTCTTGAACCACAGCCTTTGCTTCGGTGAGTTCTTTCTCGAAGGTTTCCTGACCATCAAACTGTCAGCTCTGCAGCATCGCCAGATCAGGCCGTCATACCTTCAATTCTGTTGCCAAGTTATAAATTAGGCTCCCCTCCTCGTTGAAGAAGTGAGCGTTATTCCAGAGAAGGCTAGCCTTGTCCTCGAAAGATGCCCAATTCTTAAAATCGCTGATTCCGGTCGCAGGTTGGCGGCCGTGAATGCCCCTGACGAGCTTCTGCAATCCCTTCAAGGACAGAGGTGAGGTTATGACAGAAAAGTACTCCTTGTTCGAGCGCGCTGGAAGGTTGATGAAATCCAGGAAGTACGGGTCACCGCTAGAGCTCGGTTAGTTTCGATGGCAGGGGCGACGGACAGAAGTGTTGCAACATACTGTTCGTCTGGCTTGCGGATCAATTCCTCAACAATCTTCTCCTGCGCTTGTTGGAAATTGAGTCCTTTGTATGGCACGCCGGCATACTCGTGGTCTGACTTGGCTCTGCCGCCCGGGCCTAGCTTTCTGGCTGGTTCAGAACTACCTCTGGACGGGCGTCCGGGTCCTCTCCGTTTGAGCACGATCTTTTTGGGAGTGTCGTCTTCCTCGTCACCATCGTCGTCAACTTCTTCGCCCTCGGCATCTTCGGCGTCACCTTGAGCATCGTCATCTCCTTCGGCGTCCTCTTCCTGACCTGCGTCCTGGCCGCCATGGTCGGCGGAGGCTTCATCTAGCTCGGCGTCCGCAGTTTCGGGGATTGGCGCAGCTTGGCAACTGAAGCCCGGGATCTTCTTATAAGCGGGGTTGGTCTTGGTCATGTAATTGCTAAGCGCCTTCCGGACGCGCTCGGCATCTTCAAAGATTTCCGAGTTCTTGGGGTAGAACTCCTTCGCATTTGTCACCATGCGCTTGAAGTAGCTCTCCAACTCAGTCATGTTTTTGAAATCCTGGTTGTGCAGTTTTCGCTCGATGATTTTCAGAGAAATGGGCATGCGGATGCGCCTGTAATATTCCTCGTTGCCCTCGCGGGGAAGGAGATTCTCAAAGTACTTGGCAACGAGCCGACCGCTGTGGTGAGTCGTTAGAAGTAAATTCACCAGATTGGGTATTCGTCATTCCCAAGGCAATTAGAGACGGGCGTACTTTTTGTCTCTGGTTCTGCGGATGGTTTCAAGAAACTGCAGGCCGTAAGCGGTGGTTGACTCGTAGCTTTCCTCTTGTTGAAGATCGTAATCGGATGGCGGCTATAGCGACGGTTAGTCCATCGAGGTTCTCATTATTTTACGGCAGAGCGTTGCGGTTGTCGAGGATCAGCTCTGGCCCATCAATTTTTTCGATTCGGCGCCGCATTTGCTTCGTCGCGGAGCGTGGACCGCTCCGCAACATTAGCTCTGACACGCGCTTGCCGAGCCACAGGTCCGGGCATGTGCGGACAAAATCAAACTCACCCCGGGTGCCCTGCGGCGCTTGGGAGCGCGCTCGTCGCCATCAGAGGGGCCGACTCCGGTGGAGCTCCCGGCCTTTCGCTTGTTGTCCATCGCGCTGCGACACGGGAAAATCAAGCACAACTGCAAACAGTAGTATTGATCATCTACGAGTTTGTCAACCCAGATTCGGTGATGTGGACGTTGCAATGGGTCGTTGTGGTCGAGTCGCAACCAAGCGATTGTTGCTGGAGCACGGAAGACGCGTGAGTCGGAAGTTGCATCAAATGCTACGGGATTTGGTGAGAAAATAGCGGGCGGCAGGTCACCCCGGGATGCAGGGGCCGGGCCCCACGTCCAAAGAGGGAAACACTGTCTGTAGACTGTGCACAACGACACTGGCACTTCAAGTTTGAGTTCTCCCTATGGTTACTATGGACATAATACATACCACAAGACTGAAGTGTTTTTGTTATACCGGTATAGACTCTGTCTTCTGAAAGGCACTTTCATCGTCTTTTACTGCGTTCAACTACTGGCTCGGAAACCCGCCACAGTGCTTTGGGGCTGTAGGGCTGACGACCTGAAGATCCGAGTCACTTACTTCGTACGTGTACAGACCCGAATGCTGCACGCCTGCTCTTGCCCCACGTAACTTGCTTGCACATCAGCCATTGCCTACGTACTTCGTAAGTCTGGTCCAATTCTCTTCAATGTAATACCTAGATGGCGGCTTGAATGGTAATGAACAAATTCCGACTTCGAGCGCCGAGGTTCTTGCACGAAATGAGTCAAGGAAGGAGCATTGTCTCATTGCTTCGAGCTTCCAGTAATCGACGGTGATTGATCATACCTGCCTAGTGTGTGGATGAAGAAACTGTCGGTCGTCAGATGACTGAGCCACCGCAGCACTCGGAGACCATCGATATCTCTGTGGCGTCACGGTTGCTGATTCTACTGCGCAGAGGAGGAAGTCGGGTGTGGAGCGGGGTCTTCTTGGGGACCTGTTATCATTTGCTCGCACCTTGCTTGCGCATGCCAACGGAAGAGGCGGTGCACGAACTGCTATCGGACTGGACTCGGATATACCGGTAGTAACTCTCTGTAGTCTGTTAAGTGTTGGCCCCCAGGCCTTTGGAGGCTGCTCTCATGTTGCTGCTTTTTTACGGTTTCAAAATAGCTCATCCCCGAGCGGTGGTGCAATCAAGCAACAACAACCCTTTTTAAACTTATCGATTGACATCTTGGCATCAATGGACTCCACAGACGCCAAGCCCGAGGTGCCGTCTTCAATGACATCTTCTTATTCTCCTCTTCCTCGGCCCACTCCGAAGAACCGCCCCGATTCTCGAGCGTCAGTAGATACGGCTTTGTCCTCGCAGAGCCACCGAGCATATTTGGACTCCCTTGCGCTGCCAACGCCAGACGAGTTCTCCCACATCGCCGATGTCCAAGCCGAGCGCGAAGCCGAGCACAAACGCCGGGACCGAGACCGCCAGCGACAGAGCCTTGACGCCGCAGCTGCCCAGCCGGCATCCCAGTCGCAGCAGTCCGGTCATCATCACCATGGCGGTCTCTTGAGCAAGCTTGGCTTTGGCCATGGCCACCGCCCAAGCCTGAGTGAGGACAGCGTGCGTGTTAAAGCCGCCACCGTCATCCAGCGCAACTACCGGGGCTACCGTGCCCGCCGTGAGTTGAAGGGGCTGGGGATCGACGCCTCGACACGTTGGATCCATGCCGTTCGCGAGGCGCAATGGAGACATCTGACTGCACCTCACGCCCGGAGGCTCTCAGACGATGGCTCGCCGCCTGACACCTCGGCAGGCGATGAATTCCTGGGTCCCAAGTCGCCTGGTGCACGCCAGAAATGGAAGAAGGTCTCGGCCATTGCCCGTCGAGCAGGGGGAGACGTCGACGTCGACACTTCTTCGAGCAGTTCCTCGTCTTCAACCTCCGACTCTGATTCCGGTAACCACAATGAGACAGCCGAGCAAAAGATGCAGAAACGAAAGAAGCGTGAAGAGGCCAAGGCGCTCAGAAAACAAGAAGCCAGGATGATGGGCCTGCAGTACTTCCTCGAGATGATCGACCTCAAGCATCGCTACGGCGCCAACTTGCGCGTCTATCACGAGGAGTGGAAGCGAGCCGACACCACCGAGAACTTCTTCTACTGGCTCGATCACGGGGAAGGCCGCTTTGTCGACATTGAAGCCTGCCCCCGCGAGCAGCTCGAGCGCGAGCAAGTGCGCTACCTCTCGCGCGAGGAACGCCAGTACTATCTTGTCAAGATCGATGAAGAAGGCCGTCTTTGCTGGGCCAAGAATGGCGCCCGAATCGACACGTCCGAGAAATGGAAGGACTCGATCCACGGCATCGTCCCCAGCGACGATCCCACCCCGGCGTACACTCCGGTTGCAGAGGGCCACAACACTTCCCTAAGCGACACCGCCGCCACGAGCAGGGCTGGGAACTCCTCCTCTTCATCCTCCCTCCGCTCCTCCATCTCTCCGCGCTCCTCCACTTCGTCCCTGGACCACGCCGCAGCAGCCCGCTATGCGGACGCGGACGTTGGCGCCGATGCCTCCGCGGCCAAGAACCCCCTGGCACGAAAGATCCACCATATCTCGCCAACGGCGATCCTGAACAACCTCCTCCGCAAGACGGTGCGCAAGAACACGTGGATCTTTGTCGCCGACACGTCCTTCCGCCTGTACGTGGGCATCAAGAACTCGGGCGCATTCCAGCACTCGTCCTTCCTCCAGGGCAGCCGCATCTCGGCCGCGGGGCTGATCCGCATCCGCGATGGCCGCCTGCACTCCCTGTCCCCGCTCAGCGGCCACTATCGCCCGCCCGCCTCCAACTTCCGCGCCTTCGTCAAGAGCCTGCGAGAGGCCGGCGTCGACATGAGCCACGTCAGCGTCAGCAAGAGCTACGCCGTCCTGGTCGGCCTCGAGGCCTACGTCAAGGGGCGAAAGAAGGTGGAGGGCTTCTTGGGCATGGCCAAGAGGCGCAAGAAGAAGGTTCAGGATGGATACGAGGAGGTGAAAGGAAGGGGAATGGAACCGGCAGCCGCGGGGGAAAGTGTACGAGAGGGTCCAGAGGCGGCAAAACGGGAAGAGGAGGCCAAGATGATGGACGAGAATCAAGTGGCCGCAGAGGTCATGCAGAAGCTGAATCTAGGGGTCGAGCCGACCGAGCCAAAGGGGCAAAAGGGCGACGGAGACCGCGAAGCAGGATCAACCCCAGCGATTGCTGCATCTTAGAAGGTTGCTGATAGTGGGGCGTGCGAGGCAAGCGGTGACGAAGGGGACAGGTCTTGTAGCTTGTATGCAAAGCTCACGGCGTTGGGTGGGAGGCCATTTTGGATTCGTCGGGGGAAACGGGTTAAATAATCATACATTTCCTAGCCACCAGTTTCGCACCGGAATTCTGCTTGCCGCATTTCAATTTCTTGGCTTTACTCACTGCTGCATACCCAAGCTGCATTAAAAAACAAGCCCATCAAATCTCGTTGAATGTGTGGCAAGTTCTCATGTGTTTGTACAGTACAAGACACCTGCCCCCCGTCATCATGTTTGTCTGGCAAGACCGGCTTCTATCCATGCCTGGCTTGATCAACAAACACTCTGCTTTCTCACCAATGGAACACTAAAAAGATAAATATTCTTTAATGCCGTTCCATTTGCAACACCGGCTTCACTTTTCTAAGAATCTATAAAAACTCTGGCTTTTCCCATCCTACTGTCGTATCCTCAGCCGATCCCTGGCCCGTAACTTACTCAACTTAACTCTATCGTAACTCAAGGCCGTATAGAAGTACTAATCATGATAATGCGCCCTGCTTTTCTTCTCCAGCATGCACGAAACATAGTAGTAATAATCATGATGGAATAACACCAACCCAATGAGAAAAAATAAGACAAGGGTGTAATAAAAGTAAAAAGGCAATAAGAAAACCCCCAGTGATGAAAAAGGGAACCCCCGTTAACCCAAACATACCGGCTCACTCTTTGACTGTACCCTCTTTGAATATCTTGGGTATTTCATCCCTCCTTGCACATCCTGCTCGGAGTTGGCGCCGCAAAAAGGATCATTTGCTTGACCGGCCGGCCCATCGCCGTCGCTACTGCTGCTGTTGTTGTCACTGCTGCTGATATCGCTGCTGCCGCCACCTGAAACTCCGATTTCGTTGCCTTCCTGCAACTGCACTCCCAACCTCGAGGAAGACAGTCGACGATCTCTCCTGGTTCCAGAGATTTTGTTCCCTTGAGAGTCGTTGATGCGTGGTCGCCTTTGCATCGTCATTGCAGAAGCAGTAGCAGTGATAACCGGATGAGATAAATGAGCGTAAGTGACATTCACCGGCACCATCACGACTGGTGTCGCGGCGAAAAAGTGGACTTGCGTCGCAGAGGGGCGCAGAGGGGTGACAGGCACATGGAATGGGACCGTAGCGTCAAGTGACGGATTCGCGATGGCGATCCGGTGGTTGCCGAAATGTCCGTCAATGGAACGATGGTAACACTGGTAACGGTACGACCTGGTCGGACTCAAAGAGGGCCGTGGGGATATTGCGGTAGTGGCAGAACGAGGCGTAAAGGCGGGTGCATCGGGGTTCAACCGCGAGCGCGAGTCCTGAGGTTGCCGAGGTTAGAAGCGGAGGAGGGCCGGGGTAGATAGAAACAGCCAAATAATGTATGTATGTCTGTGTGTATGTATATTCATGGATAATAATACACGCATGCATGCATCGTTTGGTCAGTTTCTATCATACCTCTTTCTTGCGGCCAGTAGAGTCTAGCTTCTCATCGGATGGTTCGTCATCTTTCGTTGGGTTTGCAGTTCGATCGGCATTAGACGTCGGGTTGACCTTTGCGAGCTCGGAATTGGTCGTTTCGGGGCTTAAGTCGTTGACGATGTTGGGGGCTTTTCGCCCCTTGATGACCCCTTTATCATCTAGTGGTTCCTTGTCCTTTGGCTTGACGAATATCTGCTGGGACCAGAGCTCCGCATACTTGCCGTTGGCTCGGATCAGTTCCTCATGGCTCCCTTGCTCAACAACCTCGCCTCCGGTGACGACGATGATGCGGTCCGCGTTCATGATGGTAGATAAGCGGTGACTAGAGCTTGTCAGTTCGCTTCTTCGGTAAATGCATCCGGGGCACCTACGCTACAATAAATGTGGTGCGATTCTCGCAGAGCGTACGCAGAGCTTCCTGTATTTTCTGCTCAGTCTCAGTGTCAACGGCGCTGGTTGCCTCGTCAAGCAGAACAATCGATGGTCTCTTCAGAATTGCCCGTGCAATTGCCACTCGTTGCAGCTCTCCGCCAGAGAGCTTGATGCCTCGTTCTCCGACTCTGGTTTGGTAGCCTAGTTCGCTGTCAGCACAGCTGCAGAAGGCATGGAGCTTGAGGCCACATACCATCTGAGAAGCCAAGAATCTGCTCATGTATACACGCAGCTTTGCAGGCCTCGTACACTTCTTCATCAGTCGCTGTGAGCTTTGCGTATCGGACATTATTCATGATGGTGTCGTCAAACAAAATGGGGGATTGCGGAACAACGCCGATCTGGGCTCGCAGGCTACAGACTGTTGTCAACCAGAGGGCATCAAAAGGGGGGTCCCAGATCTCTTACCTGTGGAGATCCACGTCCCGAATATCCTGGCCATCAATCTCGATTGAGCCTCTGGTGACGTCGTAGAAGCGATCCAGAAGCTTCAAAATGGTGGATTTGCCTGCGCCAGTAGCCCCGACAAAGGCGACCGTCATGCCTGGCGTCGCCGTGAAGTTGATATCTTTCAAAATATCCTTCTTTTTGTCATATGAAAACCAGACATGGTCAAAACGAACCTCGCCCCCGGTAAACCGTAAATCCGGCGCCCCCTCCTTGCTAACAATGCTTGGTTTTGTTTGCATAATCTCCAGAAGTTGCTCGGCATGGAGTAGGTCTCGCGAGATGCTCCTGCCCAGGCTAGCGAAGAAATGAAGAGGAGCAACCAGCTGGGCCCAGTAGGTGAGCAGCATAGTAAACGTGCCAGCCGTGGCCTGCCCATGAGTAACGCGATATACGGCCAAGAAGGCGCCGGCGAGAAGTCCAGACAGTAGCACGAGGAATTGAAATGCATATGCAACAACATAGCCAAAGTAGACTTTTTGAGACGTGGACACTCTTTCCTTGACCGCCACGGAATAACGACCCTCCTCGTGGCCGATTTGGTTGAAGCAAGCCACCGTCGACCAGCCCTGAATACCGGCCTGACGAACGTAATGTTCTCTGAACCAGGCACTGACTTCGTTCTTGCGAGCAGATTTGAGTTTGGAGATCATGCGTGTGGCAATGTACAGAAACGCCGACGCAGTTGCAACCGTGATGAACCCTTCGTACGGCCCGAGCTCAAACGAGAGATAGAAGAAGGCAACAACCATATCGATGAGCATTGGGACGGCCCGAAAACAGATTGATTCGAGGATGTTGGAGACGCTTTGCCCGGATTGTATTGCCATCATTATGTCTGAGGAGCTCTTGGAATCATGGAAGTCGGATGACAGGTTGAGAACGTGAGAATAGGCCGCCGTGCTTATGGCGTCGAAAGAGTAGTACTCAACGGGGATCCAAAGCCATTGGCGTAGAAGCGAAAGACCCGCCTCTGATGCCACCAACTTGAGGCCGGCAAAGATCAGAACCTGTATCCAGGGATTCTTGTTATTGAAGCCAGAGAGACAGTCTATGATGATGCCCAACTGGCGCGGAATCAAAACGTTGATGACGTTCATGGCAAGCAGACAAGCCCCCACAAGCACAACGCGGATTTGAAGTGCTCTGCGGCCCACGGGCCAGATATAAGGGAAGAAGACCTGCAAGACTTGTGTTAGTGATGCCAATTCAACGATTCAAACCAGAGCTGGTTACTACTGACCATGAAGCTCTTGGCATATGTAACCCAGTTACCGTTCTCCTTGAGCCTCCTTTCCATCTGCTTGCTGGCCTGCCTCTCGCGTCTTTCCCAAGGACTCTCGTCGCTATCTGCGTCAGAAGACTGGCTGTCGTCGGTTGAGGCGTCCGACGTCGCTCCGTAACCGTTCTGCTGCCCTGGCTCCGAGCGATCTTCGGAATCAGAGTCTTGGTGATCGCCGCTGCCGTTTGTCTTGAGCAAACTTTGCCGCTCCGAATCAGTGCCTTTCTCACTGGGAGGGCTGCAGTTTCCTTCAAAATAGAAGGCCAAGGCTAGTATAATAGCGAGGTATCTAGCCGCGACGGCTGATATGTTGAAGAAGTCGGCGTATGCCAGAGCCTGCTTTGGCCGCACCGCTATAGCCAAAATCGTGACGACTGGTTCGAAAGCGAGTGCCAGCCCCAGGGAGCCCATATACGGATACCAGACCGGATTTGGAGCCTCCGAGAGGCCCGCAAACAGGACGCCAAAGACCAAGGCGCACGAAAGTAGGCCAATGATAACGTCCTGCTCAGCCGGGGGGAACACTTGCTGGACGATGCTCTGAATCACCAGTGTGAGGAGTTGGGCGAAGTAGGTGAGGATCATGAAGACAAGTAGCCACGAGATAATGCGTCGACGCGGATGACAGTGTTCCGAGGATCTTGTCTGCAGTGTGCAGACGGCGATGGTCGACGTAACCATGTAGTAAAGGAAGATGCCGGTAGGATAGGCGTAGTGCAAACTGGCCAGAACCTGCCGCAGCGGTGGTTTGGCGATGTCCGCCATGTCTGCGTCGTAAGGATCTGCCATGACGGAGAGGATGTCCCGCCGAAGAAAATGTCCGGCTGAATGAAGCTGAAGACCGGGTTCCGGTGATGCTGACCGTGGCTCTGTCTACCCGAATCAAGTTGATAGACAGACGACAGTTTGGTAGTACCTAAGGTAGGCCGTTGGACTGTTGCCAGGGCTTTAGGGCGCGTGTTTATCGTTGGGCACTCTCTCAAGAGCTTAGGTGGCCCCAAAGGAAGTTGCGTCCTGGACAGTGCCGTAAGTGAGACAAGACAATCGTCTCTCACTCGCCAATCGCCCCCACCAAGGTAGGAAGCTGCCAATTGCGGTTTCGCCGTGTGCACCTAATTCCTTCCTTTCTGTAGTGTAAGACCTGAGTTCGGATGACTCAGATGATGGGAAGGCCTCGTGATCGGGAAAGATCATGCACTCTTCTTCAAGGCAGCAGCAGCAACTTGAGACTGGCAGGCACAGCCCTCAAAGAGGCCGCAACAGTCCCAAGACACTGGTTTCTCCTTCAATATCCTCATACGGGATTTCAACAACAACCTGAGAATTATGAGACGGCTGAGGTCAAAAAACTCTCAATGGACACCCCAAAAGCGAACTTGGAAGATGTCGGTCCTCACCCAATAGGGGTTCTATTTCAGGCGATTTGCCACAACTCGGCCCTTCTAAGCTTTTTCACGTATGACAGCCGAGAAGGCACAGCGAAAAAGAATAAGGTCCTCGGTGCGGTTTCACCGTCTACTCGAGGTTCGTGGTGCGACTGATGGCCTGGAACGTGAGGAAAGCAGGATGCCTCAACTGTCGTCCTACACGGCTCTCAACCAAAACGCCGAAGTGCCTTTAAATATGAGATATCAATCAGTGCAATCCAGTAGAGTGGTGGCAAGGATAGCTACCTTTCTGTTTCTGTTGTCTCTTCGGATCAAGCACATGTCAGGGCTTCAATGGGAAGGGGACAGGGGAGCATCAAATCCACCGAGTGAGATTGGCGCCCAGCGGATATAAGATGGAAAGGGGACCAGAGACACAAGAGTGTGAGGAAAGTTAGGCTGGCTGAGGACTGCTGAGTGACGATGATTGTTTGCCTCCCTCCAACAACGAGGCGCAAGGAGACGCTAGTAGTAGGTTGGCGACCATGAGAGTTGGTGACTGGTGGTACATACGTACTGTATGTTCAATACAATACGGTACAGCGTCTCGCTGCGCCTGTGGCCAGGTCAGTCGAATTGTAAACTGAGTAAGCGCAAGTGCCGCGTTATTCGATGGCGTTCTTAGTCGCGGATATTGAAGCTCCAACTCCTCAGCGTAGGAAAGTCAGGCCTTGACATTTCCCTCATGATGTTGCGCGTCCAGAGTAAAAGAGACGGTGTGAACAATTCGACCGACAGGGTCCTGGCCCATGCGGATTGCTTTTCTTGGCCCCTTGTTGCCGCCATTTCAGGATAGCGGGCCCTGGGATCTGCCAAGAATGGGTGTCGTTTACCTGCCCCTGTTCCCATGTGCGTTTGAATAGCACACGTTGAGAAAAAGCAAAGAAATGCCTTGTCTACAGCCGAACGCGGGACCGCTTCGGGCGGTGTGCACCCGCCGCAGCCGATGACCGGGACTCCTCCCGATTCCGAGTTGCGGACTTCCAAGAGTACCCAACCAACACTCCGCTGTCATTGGGCCGTTGGTGGGTACGTTTCGAAACAATGCCATCTGATTTGCTTCCATAGCACTGGAAGAGCTCCATTTCCCGCGCGTAGATACTGCGGAACCCAGTATAACAAACGCAAGATTTCATGTATACATACAACTTGGGCGTATGTACTCGGAAGACTCGCAGCGGTTCAAGGACGGCCTAAGGGAATGCCGTTCATCTTTAGCTGCGATATCATTCGAGTAGCAGGTTCCGCTGCCCGATAAGGGGTACCTCAGTTACATACGAAGTATGTTGAATCGTGCCCGAGCCTCGAGGGTGTGCTTGGAGCGACGGGAGGGGACTTTGCCAATGACTTACTGGGTCAAGCCGCGCTTATGCACCTATACCAACCACTTTTACGACGCGGTGTAACCTTGGAATGACTTCCCAACGATGCTCTACATCTCCTGTTATGCGATGCATCAACCCCATTCAGGCGTAAGGCGACTGTGCATATATTACACAATGATAAGCTCCGTGCAGGCAATGTTTACTCGATCTCGGTACGTGGATGGATGTGGGCAGTTTGGGACAAGGCGATCTAACCATCCGGTCTTCGTACTGTATGTACCTCCGTACACGTGTACATACGAATATGGTCTCGCTGTTCCCCAAGCAGCAGGATTCACTAGGCGAACGCGGGTGGGGGGTTCTCCTCCATTCCCGCGCCATCTCGCATTTGAATCGGCAGATCGAGATGGCAAAAGATGAGAAGTGACCGCCCCATCCAGGTGCTTGCCGGCCAAGGTAAGTGAGCAACTGGAAGCTCCGTCTGAACCTGGAGGCGTCTGCTGCAGCGGGCCAGAGAATCACTGCCATGGAGCCTAGCCGGCCTAGCCTCGCTAGACACAGTTCGCAGGTGCCCTGGCGCTTGTGGCCCTTTCGCTCTACCGAGGAGACGAGGACGATACCTCCTGCGAGTTGGTGGAACGCAGACTTGGGCTGCTGAATCGGGCGACCAACAACCCGGGACATTGTTGGTTGATTGACCATCTCACTGACTGCGAAGCTGCCTGATCTGAGAATGCACAGCATTGGCCCACCTCCATTTCACTCTCTGCAGTGTCTGCAGTCCCGGCGGGAACGAGGACAGAAGGTACATCATCTCGCTCAGATTGGCCCCCTGCAGTGGAACGACTCAAGTCCGAGATTTCTACAATGACCTATCTAGGACTATTTGAAATAACTACAATTCTACGAAGTACAGAGTACTCTCTCTTGAGTCCATTATCGTCAAATGTTCGAAACTGGTAACTAAGGCACTCAGCAACAGTGGGTGGTCTTTTTAAAGGAGCATACATTATCTGCGTAATAAGATCTGCAGGGCGCATGGTCTAGTGGTATGATTTCTGTTTTGCATTGCTTCCAGGGCACCTGCATATACAGACGGTCCCGCGTTCGATCCGCGGTGCGTCCAGATCTTTTTCGTCCCTTTTTGGACCTCTTTTCCCAAAGTACTCCCTCCTTAATTACTCCGCCCATTCTCCCTTCTTGCTTTGTGTTCAATAACGATGCGTTGGAGCGACAGATTGGACGCTGGCCTAATCCGTATCTGTCCCCTATCAACGCTCTAAACACAGCAATGGCAACGACCTAACGCCCAACGACTAAAGATTTGCAATCCAGATGTGCTACGAAGTAAAACAATCTAGATTGTCTCACAATTGGATACTCTTAGAAGTCATCTGACCACCCTCCCTACGGAGTATGTACATAACCTTACGGAAACCTTGGCGTAAGGCTGAGATGCAACTCGACGGGATTATCTTTAGATCTCGCGTTCTACCACTACGAAGGCATGGATTACATAGGTGCACCCTTGCACCTCTAGAAGCTATTGTACTTTGGCTTTCCTTCAATTGCTTTGGTAATGAGTCTAACGCTACGGGTAAAGACCTTGTAATGACTCATTGCGTGCTGGGCATTCAGCGCTACAGTTGGTTAAGGAGGCAGAGTACCTGTCTGCACCGCCTGCACAAGCCTCTCTCAGCCAAGTATTGAGGCGCCTACCATCAGACCAAGGACGATATTACGAAGTAGTATATCAACAACGGCTGCTCCAGGCTTTTGAGAGAGTTGGTAAATTTATTGTGTATCCGTATTACAGTCTCATTCAACGCAGCGCAACCCAGCCGAGAATGCCTCGTCAGCAGCCCAAGTCTCAGCAGAGAGTCACGAAGAGATCAACCAATACAACCAAGAAACGCCATCCCAGAGGCGCGAGATCGTCCGAGAAGACCGATGTACTCCCTGGCAACATGACAACCGCCTCCACCTCCTCCCCAGATCCAGTCTACTTCTGGCGCGAAACAGAGCCCACAACAGGATACCTCTCGCAATGGTATCCCTGTGCCTTCTCCGACGAGACCAATCCGTCCATCATCTACCCAACCGCTGAGCAGTAATGAATGCCCCTCTCCTTCTCCCTGATCCACCCCTCTCCCCCTCTCGTATCACCACGTAGAATGATCAATTAAGAAGGGAAACAATCATTAAAAACAATAAAGCTACATGATGTACCAAAAAGCCCTGCTCTTCAACGACCGGACCGTCGCCGCGCAGATCCTGTCCGCCTCGCATCCCAGGCAGGTCAAGGCCCTGGGACGCAAAGTCTCCAACTTCTCGGACGACGTCTGGCACGCCCACCGTGAGGAGATTGTGCGGCGCGGGAACATGCTCAAGTTCACCCGGCCCGTGGACGAGAAGGACGGGAAGTGGGAAGTTGTTGCTGCCGGCGCCCAGGACGGTACTACAGGTAGTAAGAACTTGAGAGAGCTGCTGCTTGCTACCGGAGACAGAGAAATTGTCGAGGCGAGCCCCATGGACAGGATCTGGGGGATCGGGTTTGGTGCTGCCAACGCTGGCAAGGTCGGGAGGGAGAGATGGGGGTTGAACTTGCTGGGCCGGGCGCTGATGGCCGTCAGAGAGGAGTTGAGGGGACGGGAGGGAGGAGAGGGGAAGGGGGAAGCGAGTGTTGATGGGGTCGAGAAGGAAAAGACTGTGTTGGAGAAGGTTGATGAGTGATACGAAGAATGCGAGTTTCTCGAGCCGTTTCGCGCACTAAGCGGTAGGAGAAACCATCTTCTGATAACTCCAGAAAGGATCTCTTCTCGTTGTTTAGTTCAGACTTCAGAGCATACAGAAGAACTCAATATTCGAGAGGACGACCGACCCAGTATGGACGGGTAATGTTTTGAGATTCTCCTACCAATCCCAACACCGCTGTCGGGTTTCGAGATTGCCTCCCTTTCCATGCCGCCATAGCTATACAAACAGGCCTTTTCCGTTCGTGAAACATGCCAGTTCCCCAAAACCCAGATAGAGTGGTGTTGATTGTGGAAATGTTCAAGGCGCCTGCTCCCCTCCTCTATACCGCAAGTTGCCCAAAACTCCATACATTTTCGAGCGGCAAGATCCCGGATGCCGTATAATACAGTTATGTACAATACACCGTAGTGAATTAAACAGTAGGTAAAATCGGATGCTGGCGCCGGCCAGTCGTCGGGCGGCGCGGGCGTTGAGCACAAGAGGAAAGGAAAATCGTTTTAGATGTAGTCGCGGCCACTCTTTTGCATCTCGATTAACCGCCATCCTCTCGTCTCAGGATTGTTTACGTCCTCGGGAATCCGCGTGATGCCGATAGCGTATGTGACGAGCTGCACCTTGTCCTCCATGCCTGCAGCCAACTGGTTGGTCTTTGCATTGCGGTAGACGTGGACCTCTTGTGTCCGGCAGGTAATAATGAAAACGGGAATCTCGCCGGGGTCGAGCATGCGTGCTTTGAGGATGTCAACTCCCCGAATATCGAGGATGCGCCCGTCAGATTTGAGGCCGGCTTGGAGATACTGTTTGGTGAGGGCTTCATAGACGGAGTACTGGGCCTCGGATAACCACAGCTTGAGCGTCTCGACGTCCCCCTTGACGTACGCGTCCAGAACCTCGGGGAGGATATACTCGCGGAGATCCCGCAGGAACGGCTCAATCTGGAATGAAGGATCCATCGTCCGAAGCTTCTTGATGACCATGGCTGTCTCGTTCTCGGCGAAGAAGCCAGCGACTTTGTCGGTAATGCTCCGGGCGGTGGATATCAAGGGATTCTCCGACTCTTGGTATACCGTCTTCAAGCCAAAGATGTTCTGAACAAACTTGTTCTGATCTCTGAAATCCCTCCACGCCTCCTTCCATGCGGCATCTTTGTGCACAGTGACACTGGTTCCGGCGCTACGACAGGGTTAGACGGTGCATTATGAAGTTGGAGCTGCTGGGAGTTCTTACTCTGGATTCTCCTCGTGGACCTGACTGTGTATTCCTCTCTTCTTGAGCTCCTGCTCCCACTTCTCTCTGCGCTTCCTTCGCTCCTCCTTTTCCACCCACCCGCCGTATCGTGAGCTGCTCCCATCATCAATGACCTCCTTGACGTTCTTGTACGCTTCGGTTTCCCGAATTGGTTTGGTCGCCTTGTCCAAAACCTCGCCTGTTTTGTTTGCGCCCTTGCGAACACCTTTCATGACGGGAGTCTCCCATGTCCAGGACGCGCCCTTGCCGATGGCGCCCGCCGTGGTTTTCACCACGTTTGCAGCCGTAGACGAGACGGCGTCAGAGGTGGCTTCGTATGCTTGACGTGCCTTCCGGACCGACTCGCTCTCGACAAACTGATTCGCCCCCGCCGCGAGAGCCTTGGTCGACTCGTTCCATTCCTTGGACTGCTTGAACTCGGTCTGCATGGTCTCCAGAAATACTTGCCACGGCGTCTTATCTCCGTGGGGAGGTGGAGGGGGAAGGTCCTCCTTCTTCTCTTTCTTGCCCTCGGTCTTTTCCTCCCCCTCCTTTTCCTTCTCTCCGCTCCTCTCCTCCTTGGCCTCTTCTTTAGAGGCGGACTCCTCACTTTGCTGGCCTTCTTTCACATCCTCTTGGGTCTTAACCTTCGGTTCCTCGCCATGTTTCTGTTGCGGCTGCGGCGACGTGTGGAAAGCGCGCGCGTTGCTCAGTAATAACCCCTCTAGTCTGATGGAACTAGAAAGCACGATCGAGCGTAGGAGCGGCTGTCGCTGTAAGGGTGAAGATGTTGAGGATGACCGGACCTCCGAGCTGCAAGGCTGTGATGCGCGGACTGAGAGAAGGCGATAGGGCGCGGGCGCGGGTGTTGTGCAATGGCTGCTGCGCAGGCCTGATGCCCTCAATGGGGCGCCTTGCGAGAGGCTCTGTATGCGTCGTGCTGTGTTCATGATTTTGTGAGAGCGGAGGCGCCTTGGACAGGCGATAACAGCAGGAAAAAGGAAATGGACCAGCGGCGGCGAGAATAGTCGCGCAAGGAAAGAAACGCTGGTCGAAAACTGTATCTGTACAAGTTGATTATGTAGAATTTCTGTTCAATGGAAGATGGGGCAAGAAGGGGAACAGGCCGGGTCCGGTCCAGGTTCCTCAAGAATTCTTTGGCCCAGCAAAATCTTTGCCAAGCCTCGGCAAATCACCGGCTCGGCCTCCCCTAGCAGCGGTCTCCCGACCCCAAAATTTCCCCAATCATCAACTCTCATCAAGTTCAAGTTTGCTGCGTGTTGCGCAACTCGCCAAACCCAATTGTCTTCCGTCAGTACACACAGCGTGCCAATGACTGTCGCGCCGCAGGGATGAGCCGATTCTCGTTAAGTCGCCTTCTGGCGCCGGACCTGCTCCGCGCTCTTGCCCAGGCCCGGTGCTCAACGCTCTTTGCGACACAATGCCCCCGTCTTTTCTCTCAATCACACGCCGCAAAGAACATTTGGTCATCACCACCGTCATCACCACCTCAACAATCCCAGCCACCACCACCAGCCGGCTCAGTTATGGGCCGACTCGCCCAGACTGTCATAGGCGCAGCCGTCCAACCCACCGTGAATGAAGCGCCGCTCTCTGAGCAGCTAGGCCTCACCGAAGACGAAAGCGAGGAGCCCTATCACTTCCATATATACAGCCACAAGCACAACACGCACATTACGCTTACTAAACCGAACCGGGACGCCATAATATCACTGTCATGTGGCAACATCGGCTTCAGGAAGTCCGCTCGCAAGCATTACGATTCGGCGTACCAGCTGGGTACCTACGTGCTGGACAAGATGAACCAAAAGGGGTTGATCAAGAAGATTCACAAGCTTGAGGTTGTGCTGCGCGGGTTCGGCCAGGGCAGAGAAGCTGTTGTCAAGCTGCTGATGGGACAAGAGGGCGCCAAGCTGCGGCCCAAGATTGTGCGGGTATCGGATTCTACAAGGCTCAAATTTGGTGGTACTCGGAGCAAGAAGCCTAGGAGACTGGGCTAAGCGTGCTGGGGTTATAGAAAGCGTACTGCAATTCAGGGGTGGGAAAGAGAGATTGCTGTCAACTGACCCGGACTTCCTTCCGGTATCAATGTACTGTAAATATGCTGTAGATTACGTATGCCCTCGTCGCAGGTGTCTCATAGTATGGAGAAAGGATCAAGGGGTTTTGCTGCAAGTTTAACAAGGTAACACCGTTGATGATGAAGACAAGAGATAGCGCACCGGGAACCACTCGGCCTCCGTGGCCGGCGTCTTGGTGGATTCCTGAGACTTCTTTCTCCCGCGTCTGTGGAACCCCGCCGGGCCGGCCGGGGTGGCCAGCCCCACTAAATTTTTCAGTTGATATGTAACTTTGCCCGCCGAACCTTTCGGTCTTCAACGGTAATCACAAACCTACAAATCATCCGCCATCATCAGCAGGGGCCCGTACCATCATTCCGCCGAGCAAAGCCATGTAGCGACCACCGACAATGCCGACAATCACCCCACAACCCACAATCCCACCGTTTCCCGCAGCAGCAGCACCACCACCGTCACCACTGCCATCACTAGGGCAACCACCACCACCAGCCCCGTCGATCTTCGGTCTTGATGCCCTCTTCCACAATCCCGTCTTCGCAGGCGGCATTGGCCTCGCGGGGCTAGGTGCCGCCGCCGCCTTTGGCCGCCGCGCCCTGATCGCCGGCGCAGGGCTTCTCCGCCGACAGCTGCTGGTCAACATCGAGATTAGCAAGCGGGATCCGTCATACAACTGGGTGCTCGCCTGGCTGGCGCAGCCGCGCGACAACCGGGGCTTTCTCGCGCAGCGCCTCACGCGCCTGCGCAGCCTCTCGGTGAGCACCACGACCAAGTCGCTCAATCCACGCCTGGGCGACGAGGGCAGCAGCCAGACGCACGCCGACTTCCGGGTCCAGCCCGGGTTCGGCCGGCACATTGTGCGGCACCGCCCGGGCGTGTACATCGCCGTGAACCGCGAGAAGGCCGGCACGGCCACGACGGCGACGGGCGAGCCCCACGAGACGCTGACGCTCACGCTGCTGTGGGCCCACCGCCACGTGCTCGAGGAGGTCTTTACTCAGGCGCACGCGCTGGCGCAGAGCTTCCAGCAGGGCAAGACGGTCGTGTACACGGCGCGCAAGATGGAGTGGGCCGTCCTGGGCAAGCCGAGGCTCAAGCGGCCCCTCGGGAGCGTCATACTCGACCGGGGCGTCAAGGAGAAGCTGGTCGCCGACGTCAAGGAATTCCTGGCTGCGCAGAAGTGGTATACGGACCGCGGCGTGCCGTACCGCAGGGGCTATCTGCTGTACGGCCCGCCGGGCACGGGCAAAACGTCGTTTATCCAGGCCCTGGCCGGGGAGCTGGACTACAGCGTGGCCATGATCAACCTGAGCGAGGTTGGCATGACGGACGATCTGCTGGCGCAGTTGCTGACCCAGCTGCCGGAGAAGAGCATACTGCTTTTGGAAGATGTTGACGCGGCGCTGGTTAACCGTCGACAGCGGGATCCCGACGGGTACAGTGGGCGCACCGTGACTGCGTCGGGGCTCCTCAACGCGCTGGATGGGCTGGCTGCCGGGGAGGACAGGATAGCGTTTCTGACCACGAACCATATTGACAGGCTTGACCCGGCCTTGATTCGGCCCGGGCGTGTGGATATGATGGTGCGCATTGGCGAAGCCACGCGATACCAGGCCGCCGAGATGTGGGATCGCTACTATGGGGATATTGATGAAGACCACTCGGGCCGCGAGCGGTTTTTGAATCGGCTGGAAGAGCTCGGCTTGTTTGGCGGCGACAGCCAGGACTCCAATGTTCCGAGGAGGCACACCTCTACTGCTGCCATCCAGGGCCTCTTCCAGTTCAACAAGGGCGACATGGAGGGCGCTATAAACATGGCCGAGGGCCTGATTCCCCGGACATTTGAACCCGAGGCGCCGTCGACGGAGGGAGCGATAAAGTCTCCGGCGTAGACTTGTATCATTATGTAGTTGTGTTGTATGCCTGCGCCTAGATTGTACCATCACCTCCTGGCGTCAAACCGCAGATATCCCAATACGAACCAGATGAGTCATTTGTGGCTTGTTTCTGTCTGCATCGACTTGTCCCGACGTCTCTGTGCCTTCGTGAACCGCAATCCGAGTAGTTACAGGTTCTCTTCCAATCACAGATACCTTCCCTTCCATCCAGGCTTTCTGGTTCCCTTGCTGGTGCATCTCCATGATTTGCACTTAACCATTATCTAAGTTCCAACCCAATCGTGGAAGGAGGAACGGTGTTGTAAAACGGAGCCAGGAGTGCAATCCTCGCGAAGACTCACTGGCGTTAGGACACCAGCTTCCAAGGCCCTCGAAGGTCATATGGAGACGAGGGGCCAGGGCACCCTCAGGACCATCACGGCTGGCGCAACCTATTTCTGGCCACGCTCTTGATGATGAATCCATTGGCGGGCCATTGCAATTCCATACCCCGGGCACCCCATCCTCCCTGTGTTGCCAGTCCATGAAGCGGCAGGACTCGATATTGATTCCAACAGCATTTAGTGCTGGCGATTCAGCCAGCCATTCCCACAGTCTCAGCCTCAGGCTTGGGCTCGCCATCGGGGTCGAAGCCCAGGGCGTCCAGCTCCCGAATCAGTTCATTGATCTTGATGACCTTGGCGATTTGCTCCGGTAGCAACGACTCTCCCGTCTCCTTCTTTTCCTTGAGCTCCTTGGCTTGTCTGAGCTTCTTCTTCAGGTTTCGCACCCTCTTTTCCTTTTCAGCTTCGGGATTAGCCTCTTCTTTCTTGGTAGCTTCCTCCGTCTCGGTAGCTTCTGCAGCTGCCGCCCCGTTTGTCTCACCAGCGCCACCCTCAGCAGCCTTCGCCTTCTTGCGTGCCTCGCGCCGCTTGGCGTTTTTATTCGCAGAAGCAGAGGATGACTGTGTCGAATTGTCATCCTTTAGGCCCTCGGCACCCGGGACAGGACCCTTGCCGCGGTTGCGGAAGTTCTCTGCGGTACGGTTCTTGTAAACTTCGACATCCTCAGGAGGGCGGTAACCGGGGCGGATCTTGATGGCTTTCCTTGTGCTACCATCGGCTCTCTTGGACTCAGGAATGTGGCGCTCGCCGCTAGCCTCGTCGGTCACGATGCCCGCGTTGGTCGGCTGGGAAGGCATAGCTACTGGGTGAATCGGAATGAAGGTTGATCGCACGAATGAGAATGAACTGGAACTTGTTTGATGTGTTGATGTCGCTCTAGAAAGAAAGAAGAAAAACCCCGGCTCCAAGCTGATAGAGTTACAACTTCTTATCCCACTCTTTATGTTGTTCTTCAAATTCGTCGTGCTGTACCGTTCCACAAAAGGAAGCAAACGCGGGTAATGTATGTAACTAGGTGGGAGCTTTGCGATTGTTGTGAAGCCTCCTGGTGCAACCGCCAAGTTGGAACCAAGCTCTCCACTCCGAGGGGAAGTTCCATGGTGGGGCTCTCACTGCAGAAGAGGTGTCGGTGCCAACTGCCAAGCTTCTGATCACGCGAGGGACAGCTGCAGTGGGGCGCTTGGGCCAAGGAAGGAAACGTCCGGATACTTCCGCACGGTCTTTCCGGCTGGCTTCGGTGCTACTGCCTTCAATTTGCTCAATTGCTTGGAGCGAAAACATTCAGAACAGCACTCCGCGAGCTTGAGTCTTCTCCGTCGCCCGTCCTCAATTGAGCCAGGTCGGTGATCGCGAACCGTCGAAATGGTGAGTTACAAGCATGCTAAAATAGGGTCACAATTTCAATTGACTGATTGCTAATCGGTTGACATTTCTCAGGCCAGCGGACTTTACAAGCAAGTTCAATCAAGCCTTCGAGCCGTTGTACCCGACGACGAACGAGCTAACAATGCTCTCTTAGCGCCCTCTTCCGGAGGAATTACACGATGCTAGGCGTTGTTTTCGCCGCCGCTTTCGCTTTCGAGATGTACGTCCTACTTTCTGCCATCGCAACCGGCGCTGGGGAAACATGATACTGAGTGTTTTACAGCGGCTACGACAACATGATGAACAAGATCTGGGACAACCACAACCGGGGCGTATGGATACCTCACCGCGCGTCTCATCTCGGATCTGAATGCTGACAGCGACCAACAGCGCCAATGGAAGGACATCCGACACAAGTACGTTGGGGGCGGGGATGAAGAGTGAATGGTGATATGATGGTCTGAAGAGAAGAGGAGGGCATTCCAGCTTCCAGGGACACCACTGTGTATATCCGACCCGGGAACAGTTGTATCAAAATAGACCTTGCTCTTGAATACATCGAACGCTGGTGGCGAGCGCTTCAGTGGTGCGGGACAGGTGTATGATTTTGAGAAGTGTGGCATTCCGCTGGCTTGCAAGCTCCTTGTTGGAGACTCTCATAGGAGAGGGTTTATGCGTAGTATTGGGTTGGTTTTGCGCTTTGCTGAAACCTCTGTTGTGCCCCAGTCCCTACCTAGAGATCTCGGTCCTTGGTGACGCGTCCGTAACTTCAGTACGTAACAAGCGTTAAAGACCCCTGCAAACCTCTGTTCGCAGGGAGGCCATGTACTATAGTAGTGTAATGATATTACAGTGCATACATACGTCGGTTATATTGACTGCCAACTCCAACAGCGCTGCATTGAACGTTAATACTTCGTACATCCATCTGATTTAAGGGCGGAGTTATCTCAACTCCAAAACGTCATTTCAAATCAGTCAGAAAAGCTTCCATTGGGTGTGCCCGCTACTGCCGGGACCGTTTTCCTTTGTGGCCTTAGCTGACCTTGCAGCGACTCAGAGCACGCCACCTTGACGCTCTTCTTTTGAAAACCCCTCGTAAAAGAACCCCTCGGTTACCACGACATAAAACTGCCAAAGATTATCGCTCCTTCCGTTGAGCTTTGGATATTGGCATTTCACAAGCCTTCCTCCGTCACGATAACCACGATAAGCACGATAACCTGCCCCGCCCACGGTGCCCTTTCCGATCTCATCGATCTTGTACTTACCTCGCACCACATCGTGGCATACCATACCGACTCATACTAGCGACACACGACCCACTCGATGCTCGTCACACACGCCCAGATGACACAAGGCGCAGGACTTATTTGAGAGCTTTGACTGACCATGGAGGAGCCCATGTCGACACAGGAGCAGCAGCTCTGCCAGCTCCTTCTGGAGCTGCCTGCTCGCCACAGCTACCGCTACACCGACAATGCCGCTCGTGAGCTCCTCACGGCGCTCTTTTGGTGCCTTGCTTGCGGAAGGCCCGACTATATGAATCTCTTCTTCCCCACCGGCGGACCCGCGCGCAATGGGACCTTGAAACTCAGAGAGGCACAAGGCGCCGTCGAGGGTGCAGAGTACACCGAGGCGGCCCGGGGCAAGGCTTGCGGGCACATCTTCAAGCAAGGAGAGGCCTCATATGCGTGTAGGACATGCAGCGCCGACGACACCTGCTGCTTGTGCAGCAAATGCTTCGACGCCACCGATCACACCGGCCACATGGTCAGAATCAACATCTCGCCAGGCAACAGCGGCTGCTGCGACTGCGGAGACCCCGAAGCTTGGAAGAGGCCCATGTTCTGCACCATACACTCCATGTGGGAGGGCGACGCCAAGGGAAAGGGAAAGGCGGAGTCCCCGCTGCCCGAGGATCTCATCGCCAGTATGCACATGACCATCGGCCGCGTCTTTGACTATTTGTGCGATGTCATATCGTGTTCCCCCGAGCAATTGCGCCAGACAAAGACGGTCGAGTCGATCGAGCAGGACGAGAAAATGTCAAGGCTATCGTCGACATACTGCGGCGGCGACACCGGGTCGCCGGGAGAGTATGCTGTGCTGCTCTGGAACGACGAGAAGCACAACGTCATCGATGTCCGCGACCAGGTGGCTCGTGCTTGCAGCACCACCCTAGCCAACGGCCTTGCTAAAGCCTATGAGACGGACGGGATCGGCAGGAGTATCTTGATGTACGACAAGAGCATCGAGAAGCTGATCGAGGTCGCCAACACCATCGAGCGGATTAGGGTTACCGTCACGATCCGCTCCTCCCGGGATACCTTTAGGGAGCAAATGTGCGGCACAATGATTGAGTGGCTCAGGGACATTTCGGGGTGCAGTGTCGGCAATGATCACCACGTCCTGAGACAGATTGTCTGTGAGGAAATGCTCAAACCGTGGCGCAAGGGGAGCCCGGCCGCCCATGCAATTGTGGGCAAGGATGGCATTGACGACGAGGACCTGATCGAGCGTGAACATAGAGAAAACGACTTCTACCTCCAGCAGAGTAGAATCTTGCTCCAGGCTCGTCAGGCAGCCCGAGCTGCTCGTAGGCCCCCGGCGGGCGAGGCGAGCGATGGTGACGGAGAAGAAGAGGAGGAAGACGACGGGGGCGACAACACGCCGGGGAGCGACATGGATGAGGACGAGGATGACGATGACGACGTTATGATGATTGATCCTAGAGCCGATGGCGACGATTTGCCGATGCAGGACTGGCGGCAAGAACAGGCGCTGGAAGAAGACGAAGCTACAGTTGCGGGCTATCCGCCCCCCCCGCCTCCTCCGCCGGCTCCTCGTCGAGCAGCCCGCGAGCGCGAGCGCGAGCTCACGCCTTCTGACTCTGATACCGCAGAGCCCCTTATTGCTCCTTCGTTGTTTGCCAAGGCCCACCTGGAGGTTCCGAAGACCCCGGGTTTGAAGAAGGACGAGACAAGCCCACCCGTCAAACCGGGCCCCTACTGGCTCGCCACCCCTGCCGGGTATGTAGAACAGGAAAATATTCCGGTTGCTGAGGATCTCTTTGAGCGAGTGCGGCTCGACTGGATGATTCTGTTTGACCTGAGAATGTGGAAGAAAGTTCGCAATGACCTGCGGTCACTCTACATTTCGACCGTAGTCACCATCCCAGAGTTCAAACGCGTCTTAGGCCTGCGGTTTGCCGGTCTCTACACCACTCTTGCCCAGCTGTATCTCATTGGCGATCGGGAACCCGACCACTCCATAATCAACATATCGCTCCAGATGCTAACCACCCCGTCTATCACGGCCGAGATTGTCGAGCGGGGCAATTTTCTTACCAGCTTGATGGCTATTCTCTACACCTTCCTGACCACTCGCCAGGTAGGACATCCATGGGATGTAACACCGAATGCGGTTCTGTCATTCGACACGGGTTCAGTCACGAACCGGCGAATGTACCACTTCTTCCTCGACCTTAAGTATCTCTTTGGCTCTCCCCACGTCCAAGAACGCCTCCGAACGGAAGAGCGGTACATGATGCAATTCCTAGACCTCGTCAAGCTACACCAGGGAATCTGTCCCAACGTCCGAGCTGTAGGCGAGCATGTCGAGTACGAAACAGACAGCTGGATCGGCGCTTCTCTCGTTACACGTGAAATCAACAGGCTTTGCAGACAGCTTGCTGAGTCCTTTCGCAATGTCAAGGAGCAAGATTCGCTCTATGTGGCGAGGGCGATACGCCTGGCAGCTAAAGCCGTGATTGTCAACTCGATTGGAGCCGAGCGACACAGATTCACCCAGTCAGAGATCAAAGACGAAATCCGGTTCAAGATTGTCGGCGACTTTGAGTTCGAAGTGCCTGCCCGCGAGATTCACGTAGTGAAGTTTGTGGTGGAGGAGCAGCCCATCAGCTTCCACCACGCCCTCCATTATACCCTATCATGGCTCATTGAGTGCGGCAAATCGATGCCTATCGAGCAACTCAGGGCACTTCTGTCCTTCACAACACAGGAACTCCTCATGAAGCCTCGCTCCATGGGAAGAAAGACAATGCCAAGGTACGGAGAATTCGGCCCAGAGGACTACCTCATGGCGGCCTTTGACTACCCGCTCCGAGTATGTGCGTGGCTCGCGCAGATGAAGGCCGGTATGTGGGTCAGGAACGGCCTAAGTCTGCGCCACCAGGCTGGCACGTATCGTGGTGTGGCCCAGAGAGATGTCTCGCACCAGCGCGACATCTTTCTGCTGCAGACGGCACTTGTGGTTTGTGATCCAAGCCGCGTGCTGGCGTCTATCGTTGATCGCTTCGGCATGGAGAAGTGGGTCAAGGGCTTCTTCGAGCAAAAGTCCAAGGCTCAGGATGACGCCCAACACTTGGATGTCGTTGAGGACATGATTCATCTGCTCATTGTGCTACTCAGCGATAGGACCTCGCTCCTTCCATGCGAGGACGACCGAGGTCCGCACATCGCATCCATGCGGCGAGATCTCATCCACGTCCTCTGTTTCAAGCCCATGTCATTCTCAGATATTTGCCAGAAGCTCCCGGATAAGTTTCAGGAGCAGGAGGACTTCCACAGACTACTGGACGAAATGACAACCTTTAAGTCTCCAGAGGGCATGTCTGACGTTGGCACTTTTGAGTTGAAGCCACAGTACATTGAGGATGTTGACCCTTACATCGCGCACTACAACAAAAATCAACGCGAGGAGTCGGAGATGGCCTGGCGAAAGTGGATGGCCAAGAAGACTGGGAAGCCGATCGAAGACGTCGTCTACGAGCTGAAGCTGAAGCCCATCAAATCGGGCGTATTTGCTAAGCTCGGCGAGTTCACCAGCACCGGCATGTTTGCGCAGATCATCTACTACTCGCTTCTCTATACCTTGGTGTATCCGAGATTGACCCCTTCAGTTCCCTCTACGCGAGTAGAGACCTTTCTGCAGGTTGTGTTGCACTTAGTGCTCATCGCCATAGCAGAGGATAACTCGGATGAGGACCAGCCGCAGCAAGCCTCGTTCATCGCCACCGCGCTTTCTCAGCAAGCTCGGAGCAATTTCATGCCCGAAGCTCCACAGGCGAAGACCATTGTATCCCTCTTGAACCTAATCGCCTCCAAGGACGAGTTCAAAGCGTGCCATCCAAAGGTGACAACTATTCTTCGCCGAATGCGCCAAAAACGACCAAGGAGCTTCGAATTCACCTATCAGCGTCTGGGCCTGTCGGTGGACCGCATCAACACTGCTTCACCGGCCGGGAGCAGCGTCGATGAGGAGCGCGAGCGCAAGAAGCGGGCGGCTTTGGACCGTCAAGCCCGGGTCATGGCGCAGTTCCAGGCTCAGCAAAAAAGCTTCATGGAGAGTCAGGGCGATATCAATTGGGGGGATATGGAAGATTTAGAAGACGAGGATCTTCCACCGGTAGAGGAGCACAGGAAGTTTTGGAAATACCCCTCAGGAACCTGTATTTTGTGCCAAGAAGACACCGATGATCGTCGATTATACGGTACGTTCGCTGCCTTTACCCAGAGCAATATCCTCCGGCAGACGGATTTTCAAGATCCCGACTTTGTCAGGGAGGCATTCAACACTCCTGATAACCTCGACCGGTCCGCTGAGAGTATACGGCCCTTTGGTGTCGCTCGCGAGAATCGGCAAACAGTCCGCAAGGTTAACCAGGCCGGGGAGACGTTTGAGACGGAACGAACCGTCATCGGTAAGGGCTTTCCGGCGAATCTATCTCGCCCAGGCCCCGTGTCCATTGGTTGTGGTCATATAATGCACTACAGCTGCTTCGAGGCCTACTTTGACGCCACCGTTCGCCGGCACAGCCAGCAGATTGCACGGCATGCTCCAGAGGATACCAGCAGGCTGGAATTTGTATGTCCCCTGTGCAAGGCCCTCGGGAACGCATTCCTCCCAATCATTTGGAAGGGTCAAGAGGAATCTTACCCTGGACCGCTGGTACCATCTACGCCGTTCTCTTCTTTCCTCGATGAGCAGCTACGCTCGGCTTACTACACGCTTGGCGCGACACGCCCGCCCGATCAAATACAGAATGCGTTCGCTGCTTACACGCAGCACAACATGATTAACAACCTCGCCGAGAAATCTTCGCAGCTCCTGGATGACGCTTGGGTCGATCTCGGGGTGCAATCCATCTCTACAGGGACACCATTCAGTGAAACATTCTCTCTAACTTCAGTTCCGGATACGGGCACACCGCGCACCACTCCTGATGTCAACAGCATGGTACGGGAGCTTGCCAACGTCTATCGCAGGCTTAGGGACACTCTTAAAAAGAACGGCATTACATCGCGGCACCAGTCCGACGCTCCCGAGCAAGACGGGAATGAGCTCTATGGAAGCGACGCGCTGGCACGCTCCGTGGGCTTCTCCATATCTGCCGTGGAAATCCAGCAGCGTGGCGCGGAGGCTGAGTACGGCATGACCTTCCTGGAGAAGATACCGGATCAAGTCCTCACACAACTACGCATCCTCAGCGAGACGGTGACGTCGTACATTGCTGTCGGAGGCTTGCGGGAGTCGGGAGAAAACAGAATTGACAGCGAGTACCGCAAGGATAGCGAGCGCCAGCACTGCCAACTCTTCATCACACAGTATCAGGGCGAGGAGACCGAAAACACGCGCTTCCCCGCAGCCACCTACCCACCGCTGCTGAGCCAGGATCTGTTTGTATTCCTCTGCGAGTCTGTGTTTGGCGTTGCCTCGTCGCAAGGGTTTGAGATTGCGCACTTGGTCCGTCTCTGCTACCTGGCCGAGATCACCAAGGTGGTCTACCACCTAGCCCGGAACATCCCCGCCACAATCTGGATCGACCGCATCCTCAACCCGCACCGCCAGGACATGGACCCTCAGCTCGCCAATTTTGCCGACTTTTGCGAAGCCATCTTTGAGATGGACGTGGCCTGCACCTCGGAGCGCTTCCTCCCGGTCGCGAACCGTCCGCCCATGGGCGAGAACAAAGCGTTTGAGCAGCCTGGGCTCGACACGCTCGAGGCGTGGTACCAGCTTGTACGCAAATACGCGCTGACCTTCCTCCGCAAATGCGTCATCCTCTTGCACGTCAAGTTCGGGGTCGACTTCAACAGCCGCGTTTCGCCCAACCCAGAACAGCGCGAGCTCGAGCGACTGACCGAGATGCTACGCGTGCCTTCGCTTGACGAGATGCTCACCGCCCTGACACCCCACGTGAACGTGCAGCACGGCTGGCCTGCTGACACGCCGAGGCTCGTCGCCGGCTGGGTAAGGCACCAGGCTCAGTGGCCGTACACGGGCACCGACGAGTCGCTGCCGCCGTCGGCGGTGGTGAGCCACCCGGGCATCTTTGAGCTTGTCGGCTTGCCCAAGAACTACGACACGCTCATCGACGAGTGCACGCGCCGGCGGTGTCCGACCAAAGGGAAGGACATTACCGATCCCATGATCTGCCTCTTTTGCGGCGACATATTTTGCGGCCAGGCGGTTTGCTGCGCCAAAGATATCAAGGAGGGCCGGACTAGGGTGCTGCAGATTGGCGGGGCGCAGCAGCACATGCAAAAGTAAGAGAGGACTCCCCTTTGCCGTCCACCACACCCTCACCCCTCCTCCTACTTTTTCCCCTCCCCACCTTGATCAATTTGACTGCTAACACACAAACGTGACAGATGCCAGAAGAACATTGGCATATTCATCAACATTCGCAAGTGCTACGTCGTCTACCTGTCGCGCATGTCGGGCAGCTTTAGCAGCGCACCCTACATGGACAAGTACGGCGAGGTGGACATTGGGCTGCGTTACGGCCGCCAGCTCTTCCTAAATCAGAAGCGCTACGACTCGATGTTGAGGAACCTTTGGCTCAGCCACGGCGTACCGAGCTTCATCAGCAGGAAACTTGAGGCTGATATCAATACCGGGGGTTGGGATACCATCTGATGGGGGATAAACAGTAGTGGGGGGTCTGTGAATCGTCTCGGGGCTTATGTAGTTTGTTTATACGAGATTACGAATTGGCATGGGGCCGAGGTTGTTTATTGGTGCTGGGATATGTTATTTCGTCCCTTTCCAACCCCATAATAAACTGTTCATAACTATGACCCAGTCCGCATGGATCATAGATTGTTGGGGCCTAGTGGATGGCCCGCCAATGATCCTGAAGTGACTGAGAACGAGACTGATTGGCTTTCATGGGATTGAAATAACGACATTCAGAGGATCGATCACATTTCGAGGCCTACAAGATCTCTTCATACGGTCAAGATGACACAGCAAATTCCCATCCGCGGGGGGATGATAATTCAAAATCTTTTCCCTCCGCTAAGCACCGTTCTATAGGGTATTGACTTGACATGATACCAAAACATATATATAGTAACCCTCATCCGGGCGCTCATGAGGCGGAGTCCCAATGCAAAAAAGCAATACTATGCAACCTCACCGGCCCAAACGCCTCAAGATGCAATCGTAACCAACAAAACAACAAACGCTGCCAACTGCCAACTAGTCGGATATATGATGCCCGCACAACACATCTGTTTCATTCCCCATCATTAGAACGCTTGGTGGCGCCAGCCTCCACCTCGTGCCTTGCCTCGACGTTGGCGATGGCGCTCTGCAAGGCGCTCGTCAGATCGACGTGGAACAGGGGGCGATTGATGCCGTGGACGGCCACGGTGCGTCCGGCGTTGGGCACCGCTGTGGCAGGCTTGGGGTTAGCGCTGGCGGCTACTCCTTCGTCCCCGCCGCTGATGCCGCTGCTGTTGCTGCTGCTCTTGCTGGTGGCCTTCTTTATGGCGGCCAGGCCAGCCTCGACGTCCAAAGCCTGTTGATGCTGCTGCGAGTTGAGCTCCTTCTCATTATCCTCAAACTCGGCGGCGGCGGCTGCGCTTTGGGAGCCGCCAATCTCGGCCACGCTGAAGATGCTCTTCCACCGGAGGTGCGGTACGTCGGGCCGGCTGGTGGGGTACCCGAAGCCGGCGGCCGCGAGGGCGCGCTTGGTCCAGCGGTTGCTGATGCAGGCGATGTGCCAGTCCACGACGTCGGGCGCCGCGTATCGGTCGAGCTGGTTCCGTACGTCGATCAACTGTTGGACCGAGGTGATGTCAACGAAATTGACAGAGCTGAAGTCGAGGATGATGGCCTTGAGCGTCGGTAGGTTCACGTCCACATCCACTGTGCCGGCATCGACACCGGCCGCGGCAGCGGCCTTGAGCTTGCGCCGCGACGGCCCGGGGTCATTCCATGGGCGGTCGCCCGGCCGCTCGAAATGCGCTAAATTGGTCCGACGAGTGTGACGATAGATGTAGTCGGTCATGTCCTCGAGGTTGTGGCTGGCGTTGGTGTAGTTGAAGCCTTCAGAGAAGCGGTAGATGAATATGCCGGGGTAGGGGTTGTCGAGCTCCACCTCGGGGTTAGAGCCGTCGGCGTGGGTGATGGGTAGGAATACGTTGCGGAAACGAGCCTCGGCGGAGCCGATGAAGGTTCCGTATTCGTCCTGCCGGCGCGTGTCTTCACCGAAGACGTGATCTCCTAGCATGGATTGCACCCTCACACGGCCTAGGAACCGACCCTTGGCCCTCAGGATACGGAAAAGGAGCATGGCGGCCGAGATGCAGACGGTGCAGTAGATGCCATTCTCAATGGTCGAAAAGACGGTGACAATGACGCCCACGAAGAAGATAAAGACCTCGATCGGCGAGACGAGCCAGAACTGGTAGACGGTGTTTGGCGGAGTGATCAGATCGCCGACGGCGTGGATAATGACGGCGGCAAGCGAGGCGTTGGGGATGTAGTAGAAGACGGCAGGCAGGGCGTAGATGGCTAGGAGGACAACAACGGCAGTAATGACGCCGGCGAACGGGGTCCGAACTCCAGCCTTTGACTTGATAGCGGTCCGGCTGAAGGAGCCTGTAGCGGCGTATCCGCCTAGGAAGGGGCCCAGCATATTCGTGACGCCGATGGCCACCATCTCCTGGGACGGGTTGATGGAGTAGTTGTTCACTCGACCGAACGATTTGGAGATTGCAATATGCTCAATCAGCAAGACAATGACGGTAGCGGGCAGGTAGCTGGCGAGGTGACTGGCAAGCCGCTCGTTAAGCACAGGAACAGCTGCGTTCTGGAAGCCTGCGGGAATTCTTAGCCTTTGCGACCGCAGAGAGAGGGAGCGGTGACAATTGGAAGCATTGACAACAACTCACCCCTAGGAACATCAAGCAGGATCTTGAACTTGACATGGTCCTTGTCGAGGCCCCGGTTGACGAGCCAACTGATCATCGTGTACAATAAAATGACGAAGACGGTACGCAAGGTCGAGAGGAAGAATATGAGGCGTTGGTGCTTTGGCCAGCGCTTGGCAGAGTAGGAGCAGGCTGCCCTGATAGCGTAGAGCATGGTCAGAGCTGTCAATCCCATGGCAGCGTCCAGGGTGGTCCTGGGCAGACCCTGGAGAGTGTGGATAAAAACGAGGTAGGGCGGATCACGGGTCGAGAAGCCCGAGATGCCCATCATGGCAGGAACTTGACCAACGGCAATGTTGATAGCCGAGCCCGTCATGAACGCCGACAGGGCAGTGAGCGAGATGACATCGACAATCCATCCACAGCGGATGAGCCCGATGAAGAGGACAATGGAACCAGCCAAGATGGCAAGGGCCGATGCAACGACGTGGGCTGGGACGTCAGGCAGGGCAACGGCAAGGTCTGCGACGATACCACCGGTAAGCTGCGACATGACAGCAACTGGCTGTGAAGGGGTATCAGCTATACTGAAGCGTAACATGTACAAGCAGCCGACTTACACCAATGGTGATGTCTTTGGAAGTGGCAAAGAACCAGTAGATCAAAACACCCATAAAAGATGAGTAGAGACCAAACTGGACTTCGAGATTGGCCAGCTTAGCGTAGGCCATGCCTTGGGGAACCACGACAGCGCCAATGGTGACGCCTGTTTGTATAACTTCCAAGTAAGCAACTGGCATTCGCTCTATGGGCAAGGGAGGGGAGTGTCAATAGTCCATACCAGCAACCAGATCTCCTATCAGCCATTGTAGGTTATAATGCCCAATCCAGGAGAGGAAGGGGAAGAGCGAGAGGAGGTATTGCTGGATCTGGTGTCCAGAAGGGATCAGGTCGTCGAAGACGTCGAGAAGGCTCGGTGGCTCTTCGACAAAAGTCTGGCTGGAGAGGACCGACGCGCCGGGAGTCTCAAGCTCACCCCGGTAGGGTTCCTTGTCCTGGAGTTTGATGCCCAGCGCCTTGGCCACCAGGTGGCCGGCCTTGGTCGACATTCCCAAAAGTTGATGGTGGAGAGTTGAGAATTGACGGCTAATGGCTGATGACTGACTGATAGCTGATGGCTGTGTTTGTGTCTCGGAGCTAAGGCACCAACTAAGGTTGTACGGATGATGCTATTAGTCCAAAGTATGTTAAACTGTCACAAGAGACAAGCACGTCATCGAGCTCTGGGAAGAACGAGGGCAGCTCGCAGATTGACTGGTAGTTCCCATCTGAGAAATTACATGTAAGAGAGGGCAGAGCCATTGCGACGGGATGGTAAGAGACGCAGACCTCTAGATAATAGGGCTCCTCAACCACAGCAAGGATCTGGTGGAAAGGGATTTCGAGGTCCGATGTTCAGTACGCTCTCTGGCAGTGAGCGGACCCGGACACCGCGGATGGCGCAATCATCTGCCTATCACAGCTAGCAGCCGTAAGCCCCGAGTGGGCCTGGGAAAGAACAAAGGGAGGAGCAGGTAACGCTAGATCTCTGCACTGTACTGTACACTACGTCAGCTTCGAGCTAATCTACTCGGCACTTGTTAGTATACGTGGGGGAGAGTTACCTTGCAATGTGTGGCCTTTGTGAGGCTATCGAGGTCTCTCGAGAGCTGGAATACGTTCTACAGAAGCAAAAGTCCTGTCAATATGCGCAGTGCCGTATGTACGTTCAAATGTAGCTATGTACGGAGTTATGTGTGTATGTATTGTACTTACATCTCTTGGCTTACATCGGGGCTTGACATCGCTGGGGATTCAAAGACGCAAAAGGCAATGGATAGGCATACCAAGAGCGGTGTATCGGACATGGCATTCTCCGACAATGTGTCTTCTGCATGCAATGCATTTTCCAAATGGCGTATGCCGCTCACGGTCAAGCATACGGGAAGGTAGCAGCCGGAGGGGCTCAACGGAGCTCAATGGGGGTCAATGATGACAGAGCAAATGGGGTTTTAGGATGATGCAATTGACGCCAAAAGTGATGTGCTCGCAGCTGCCAAGTTCGCTCCAGCCCCTAGCTGCGAGAGCGCTCAACAGTTAAAACCGCTTGTCTTCTTTCCCCTTCATCTAACTTCCTCTGCCATGGTAAAAAGCCTGGAGTTATTAGAAATGGGGAACGCGATTTGTAAACGTCTCCCATTACGTCGCCCTTATTTCGCCTCGACTTAAGCCCCTGCAATGATGGATCATAGATCGGCTCAGTCATCTCGTTATCTAATCTGATCAGTGGTCGGCACCGGCGATACACATGCTCCGACAGGACCGACGTCCGATCTACAATTCTCCATCCCGGCCAGCCCGGACTTCATGCAGAGCGATCCCAAAAAACCAATTGCCGCATGGTGGGCACAGCTTGCTGTTGCCATGACAGCACGTCACATTCCCTAGAATCTGCAAGGTCCGCCATCGATGCTGCAATACCGAATCCGATGCCGAGTCTGTATACCTATTCATTAGGGTTAAGAACCAAGGTGTATGATTCGAGATATGTGCTTGTGTGCTGACCAATCCGGGCTCGGTTGGCGTCCTTTTTGGGAAGCTGATGAGGGGCTGGGCGAGCCAGTGGGACGAGACAGACGACGACGGCATACATACATATTTACCTAGGGCGACAAAATCTAGAAGGACGACCTCCATTATACCGTATATTCTCAAGAAACTGAGCTGACCTACTGCGGGTTTACAACCTTACGACTTAGCTACGTATCTAGCCCAAGTATCCCGCCCGCTTTAACCGCTCGCTTCGACATCGCATCGCATCCGAAAGCTGAAGCAGGTTGAATAGTGTAAGGCTGTGATTGATTCCTAGGCTTGACGTTTGCAGTGGGGTCAGCTCAATTCCAGAGAATATACGGTATCACCCATGAAGATTCGCAGCGAACTACTCCGTACTGTACAGATACATCCAGACAACTTAAGCGCCTGAGTGACGAATATTCAAACTGGGCAGATACAAGCGTGTGAGGTGATTTAAACTAGATGGCATACTCCCTTCCCATCATGCATAATAATCCTTTTATATAGATATATATCATTCAGTCTGTGAAAATAGCACTCAAATAAAGGTATGGAGTACTATGTGGAAAATGTAAGGTAGTTCTCTGCGAAGCTTTGGTGTGGGTGGCAAGGTCGTCGTCCTAGACTTTGAGGCTGTCGCTTCTAAGGTAATCAGTCGGTTCGATGAGGTGGGATGAAGACCTTTGCAATCGTCTGATGAGAATGGTTCTACGTACAGCAGATACCAGTTCGAAGTATATTTTGCCTCCTAGAAACAATTTTACGGTCCATTCACCATTGAGCCTTCATGAAGATTACGCATCGTAGTCTACTGCACTCCGTAACACCAGCGACCATTTTCAAACGCGCGTCTCAGTCCCTTCGCTTCGACAGGCGAAATGGCTCCGTCCTTCAATTTATGGGGCTTGGCACCGGGGAGTCGGGTCAAACCCAGCCACTGTGGGGATTCGATACCCGATTGGGAAGTGTTAACGTTGATGTCCATCTTCCAGCCACGCGAGCAACTTCTACAGACAAGAAAGAATACGTACGCCGGGACACAGGATAGGAAAGGGATCGATTTCGACTTGGAAATGGTAATTGGTGCCAGAAACCAATGGACCAATGGACATGGTCAAGCTATTCGTCAAGTCAGAGAGACAATTCAGGTAGTTAATTCATTAGGGCAGCTAATTAACCTGTCGCAATCACGGGCTGGCCCAAGCGTAGCCCAATTCAAACGCGCTGTCGCGAAATGAACACGAGAGGTCTGGATAGTAGGAATCCTGCATTACTGCATCCTGTGCAGGCCCAGCCTGCATTCAGGCACTTCCAGGTTTCTCTTTTCTGGGGCAAACTGCAGCCTGTGACCACTTACCTACGACTGCGACCTGCAAGTTTAGGTACAGTTTCCTTCAACTTCATCGCTGCCCGATCACTCTCCGACGTTTTACCATCAATTGCAATTTGCTTCCCACGAGAATCCACACGGTGTTTGAAGATCGCGCGCAATGACACTTCGAGATTTGAACCAATTTGACAGGGTGCCGAGTCCCACCAAGGAGGCCAGGACCCTTCCACAGCTGGCATCGCTCCCGGCCATGATGCAGCTCCACCCGCCTCCATCTCCCGGCACTCACCGAACTCTAAGGAGATTGCAGTCGGCCCATAGCCTGGGGGCAAAGGCCGCGGTCCAGCCGTCGCTCATTTCGCAGCAGAGGTTGCAGCAGAAGTCGTTGCAGCAGCAGCAGATCCAACGACTCCAGAAACCCCCATCGCCTCCCCGAAGAAATGTGAGCTTCAACAATAACCCTTCACCCCAGAGAGGACGCGCCAACAGCGACGCACCGCCCATCCCCAATCCCCACCAGCTCAACGCCATGACCGGATCCAGGGATTCCAGGCGCTCCGCCCTGAGCAAGCGGTCCTTGGCCGCCGACGCCATGTCTCTCGAAAGGCTTCTGCGCGACGGTCCGCCAAACGGTGATGTTGAAGGTGCTCTAGAAAGCACCCGCCTCAAGATCCTCGATCAGGGCATCCGCTCAGACAGCGATGGCATGGTAGGCATATCCAACACTGTGCCCGCTGCATGTGGAATGTTCCCCTGGATTTGCTAATGGCCTTTGCATTGCAGTCCTCGCTCCGCATCTATGTCTGGCTCATCCTGCTCAACGCGCCTGTTCTTGAGACTGATTCCTACCTCGCTCTCATCCACCGCGGCGCGTCGCCAGCCTATTCCAAAATCCGCAACGACACATTTCGAACATTGACGACCGATCCTCTTTTCCGACGTCGCGTGAGCGAGGCAAGCTTGATTCGCCTTCTCAACGCCATCGCCTGGAAGCTCCATGATGCTCGCGGGCAAAGGACGCGTGACCCAAGCGTGGCCAGCAGCTCGCGCCGCTCTTTGGACCAGTCGAGCAGCCGACCGGGAACCGGTTATAGCAGTGGTTATGGGAGCCCAACTTCGTCGCCGGCCGCAAAGAACCGAGCACGTGCCCTAACTTTGACGACCGAGGGTTCCGAGACGAGCATGGCGGCAGAGCCAGGCACCTATGTGCAGGGCATGAACGTCCTGGCAGCTCCCTTTCTTTACGCTGCCCGCAGCGAAGCAGAAGCCTTCATCGCCTTTCACCAGCTGCTGACACAAGAGTTGCCGGGCTATATCCGTGGCGCCATGGACGGAGTGCACAAGGGTCTCGCCCTGGTTGACAAGGTGCTGGCCATTGTCGATCCCAAACTTAGCCTGTACCTGCTCTCCAAGAACCTCTCGGCCGAAATTTACGCTTTCCCGTCCGTCTTGACGCTCTGCGCCTGCACTCCGCCTCTGCCCGAGGTGCTACGGCTCTGGGACTTTCTCTTCGCGTACGGCCCGCATCTCAACATCCTGTGCATTGTTGCGCAGCTGGTCATGATACGCACCAAGATCATGGACTCGCCTAGGTATGAACCCATGAACCACAACTGCCCATATGGTAGCGTTGGAACTGACAGGTAATCGCCAGCCCTAATAAATTGCTCAGATCTTTTCCGGCCCTCCAGGCCGACCAGATTAAGCGTACCACCTTGGCTATCATCAAGATGATCCCCGATGATGTCTACGCTGAAATAGTCACACATGCCCGATAAAAAGCCCGTGGCAGAAGCGTTTCCGGTGGGAATATGCTCCCTGCTCGCTGGCTAGACGCTGGAGATGCTCTAGCGTTGTTGGTCCACAGGTTGAGCACCCCGCCAGCGTCAAGTCTTGTCCGCCATCTGCTGTCCCTTGGGTCATCTCTTCCCACCCAGCACACCGTAACCGCGATGAGCCCTTGGGGAAGGTGGCGGTCATAACAGATCTACATTGCCGGCACCAAACGAGACCCTAGCCAGCCAACCCGCATGCATAAGAGCCGAGCTCCAGTTTCAGGTACTACGCCGATCGCGCAGCGCCGGAGATAAGTTAGATGATGGTCCTGCCGGCAGCCCGCATTTAGCCGCTAACTCCCGCCGGCGCAATCGAATGGGAGGAGCCGGCGGTGCCGTGGAGGGAAAATGGAGGCAAGCGGAAAGTTCCAAGCCACCCCAACAGGCTGTCCTCTCTACCGAGGGGGTTACTTGAGGATGGTGATGCATCCACTCCAAGGCACTTGGGTTGGCGTGGGGATGTACCTGCGCATCACCTCCCTCCGTGACGCCCGTCACAGGCTGCCTTGCCTTCTACAAATGGCCTGCGGTGCCGTACTTGCCTTGCTCACCCGTGGTATAGCGTGCGCTAGCCGGTTAAGCCTTGGCGAATCCCCAGGCACGGATTTTACAACGGTCTTGGAGTTGCAATACTTTAGCTTCATTCTCCCTATAGCTTTGCGCAACGAGCGCAGTGGTTTTGTTTTGAATCGGTTCAGAATGGAATTAAAAGGCCTACAAGGGGCATGGGCAAAGCGAGATAGACTCTGGGTTTTTGGTCCTGGTTCGGAGTTGGGTGGGAAAGGGAAAGGAAAAAGAGGTCAAAGATACCTTCATATCTCGTATAAAGCGCATCCAATTTTTGGCGTTCTCCGATCTCCACGTCTCATCCCAACGTTCGTGCATTCCCGGCCCCGTGTAATCGGGTCCAAGGCTGATGGATGCGACATCAGATTGCGGCTGCCTGTGCAGAGCTCGTCGCATTTCACCCAGTTGTTGTGCTCCTCATCATCCAGCTTAAACTAGTCCATACGTACTAAGCATCCAGGACGCAAATCTCTTCCCAAATTTGCTGCCACGAACGGTAGCTGAAGACGGTGCCGCAATCTGCCTTGTACATAAACGCAGTAAGAATTTAATCTCACCCATTCCAGACCAGGATTTATTGCAGAGGGGTAGGAGACAAATATGGCGAAAGATTTGCCGCCATCAACCCGCAGCGTCACCATGCGGTTGGCTTTCACCGTTTTATTGCTTCCATAGATCCTGTATCTTGACCGGACGTTTGGTATGCACACTACCTACTGTAAGCACTCTACTATTCATAGGACGTGAAAATAAACTGCCTATTGCACACAAGTACCTAGCATGTTGTGCAGGATTGATGAGAGCTCCAAAAGGCCCTTAACGGCCCCCTAAACATCGAAATGATATTGCATCAACTTGATGATCATTAGTATTACTATTCTTCTTCTTCTATCATCTTAGGACTCTCTTGACTGATCGAGCAGGTTTCAACGCCTTCCCCTCTTTTTGCTCATCCCATTAGTCTGCATCCAAGTCGTCTAGTCTATCTATTGCTCTAATCTCTAGGCCGCGGGTTTTCTAGGGGGTAAATACTAGTCTTTTTTTCCGTCGCGCTCCCGCCGAACGTCTCGTCATTTTGATCCACCGTCTCCCATTGGTGTCGGAGCGGTAGCTGTATGAAACACCGAATCGCCGCAGGACCGCGCAGTCTAGCCTGGAATACCGTCGACTCCACCTCCCGCGATAAACCAACCACTACCACCATGTCTGTTCGATGACGATCGCCTTCAGCGCGAAGCATCCAAAACAAATAAGTTGGTGGGGTAACGGAAATGCGGCGAACCATTGTCGTGTTACTGTTAGCCGTTGGCGGCGTGCTGGCGGTCGGTGGAGAAGAGCAGAAGCCTCTAGGTCGTTTAGAGGCCCCGTCCGCTGTTATGAGAACGCATTTGTCCTGCGAGGAGACGTATGGCGCCGGGTGGGAGAAGTGTGGAGATCAGGTATGTTTGAGCCACTCTGCGATGTGGCAGAAACTGAACTGCAATGAAGAGTAGCAGATTCTGCTACAATCCCGAGAAGGGGCAGGTGAGTGCTAACGTTCCCGAGTACAAGCCTAATGAGGTTGCTGATTCAGGGCCTTAGTCGTGCTGTCAGGTCGATAATAGCTACTGTGAGGAAGGCACATGGTGCGCGCCGGTGGCTGGATATTGCTGCTTAGATGTAGGAGCTTGCGTCGTCCTCTTCAGGGCTCAGAATTGTTGACCGATAGGGCAGAGCGAGGATCTGGAGACATGCGCGAGAAATGCTGGCTTCGACATACCCGATAACGTCGAGCTGTAGGAACCGACCCGGGGAACCAGTCATCCGTTTTATCCACGACGCAGGGTGGAGGGGCAACCCCCTCGGGCAATCCCAGCCTAAGCACGACCTCACCACCTCCGGGAAACGAGCGAATTGACCAGGGCGAGGTGGTCAGTGCCGAGGTGGCAATGGATCTCATATTGGATAGGTGCGGAAATCGGCGTGGTTGGTTACCCCCTTGTGCTGAGGAAAGCCATGTGGCTGCCGCGCTAGACGTCTCTTCCATAAGAACGATCCGGCGAGATAATCATTCGGGTGAAGGCCAGCCCAAGTCGCACCTTGCGTGCGGGTAAGATGACTGGTCAGCTAAGACGTAGCCAGCATACTCAGTCTCGATGAGCTAGAGGGCTTGACGCGATCTATGCACTTCACGCTTCTGGCGAGGGATGGAGCTTGACCCCGGCGTTTAATATGCGGTGCATCCATCTCTGGCGAGTTCAAAAGCATGCGAAAAGAAGTTGTGCATGGCCGTGTAGTGGAAAAGAATCCCTCCTAGCACTGCAATGTGCCAGAGATTGTGGCTGCCCCCAACGTAGTCGAACATCCCAGGGCACCACCGCTCGGGGATCTTGCTTGCGTAAACGCAAGCGCCAAGGAGATAAACAGCCAAAGATTTGACGATCGGTGAGTAGAAAGCCCAGGTAGCCTCGGCACCCCGCGTCAGTGAGAGTTGCAGTATCGGTAGGAAGCCTGTGGCGCCGAGGCCGACAAAAAAGCCAACCCTGGCCCATGCCATGTCCTGACCGTTAAACCGAGGGTGCCACGGCAGGATGACGCCCCCGATGCCCAAGAGAGCTGTGGTAAGCATGTAAACCCAACGGCTAACAGGCTCGCAGTAGAATGCCGTGTACTCTGTCGTCATAATGGAGGCTGCAATTAATAGCGAGATGCCTGTGTAGTCGACACAAGCGAACATGGAGACCAGGTTGACATCGGCCACCGAATTCATCGTGTGCCAGATAGTGCTGCAGACCAGGCACTGGCAAGCGGCGAAGAAGAAGACTGCGGCGACGAAGACATCGGCCTTTGAACTCGACGAGAACGTGGCACTCGTGGGGTAGAAGTAAAAGGCAACGGATAGGACGAGAACGAAGCCGAGAGCGTGAGACCAGATGTTGACGAGCTCGTTGGAGAAGCCAAACGCCGACCTCACGCACGCCAGCTTCGTCTCGGAAAACCGATAGCCCTTGATGATGTGGGGGTTGATCCTCCAGGGCACTGGCAAGTCCTCGTACCGGAGAAGACCATGCTCCCTGGCGTGAGCGATGGCGCGTTGGACGTGGTCCTCGAGCGACTCAGCTGCCCGGATCGCTCGCCCGATACCCTCGTCCACTACGCGGTGGGCTTCATCAATGAAAGTCTCGGCAGCGTTGGCCAGGCCCTTTTCCCGAAACTTGGCCGCCTGAGCCTCCATATCCTCCAGCATGCCGTTGAGCAGCTCGATGCCGACCTTAGCCTTTTCATTTAATGAGCCGGCCGCGGCTAGAGCCTCGTGATACCCAGACTCGAGCGTCTCCACCATGAGATACAACCTGCGCCGGCCCGCGCCCATAACTTCCTCTGAGGCCTGGGAGCACCGCGTCCGCACAGCCTGCAGCGTCGAGAAAGCGGCTGAGATACTCGAGTCCAAGGTGAGCTCTCGGTAACTCTCCCAGTACTCTAGCCGCCGTTCGAGGTCGGTCAAGAGAAGGTCCAACTTAAGCAACAGGCCCTCCTCGCCATCCATGATCTGGTTGACGATGGACTTCCGCCTCTGCGCGAAGTGCGAGGGCCGTCGCTTACGCGCAGCAGACGGCGCCTGAGCCCGAGCCCCCGAAGTGAAGCCATCAGCACCATCATCACATGCACCGGAAGTGAACGGGGCGGGGCACCCCATGTTCGAAGAGGCGTCCATGGCGAGCCCTGAAAGTAAGAGACAACGAGCGGCTAAGCCCAAGAACACGCTGACAGTAACTGATAAGGTCTGGCGGCTGTCGAGAACACCCGACGGATGGATACACAATATGGAGGGAGAGAATGGACGCCCCGGAACGGGCTCGTTTCACACCTGTAAACACACGGGAACAGGAAGGTACGGTTGGGGAGGAGGTTGTAGTGCTGAATGAGAGTTCGCCTTCGCCCCGGATGCGACGGTAATTTGACTAGAACCCGAAGGTAAGGTAATCGGGAAAATTGCGGATGTGGTTGCCACACGTTTGATCAAGACCCGGGAACCCGGTAATGGAAAGAGGAATCGACAGAACTCTGGGATTAGTCTCAAGCAAGGAGCAGCAATTGAATCAGCCAAACAGAAATCTATAAACTTGAGAGAAAGCGATGCTTTGAGGCGGAGGCGGCAGCGGCAGCAAATCCATGAGGTCGGAAATCAGGGCTAAATAATACCTCAGTCCCTTTGTAAAGTAACTTGGCTGGGTGGATTCGATGACACTTACGACCAACTGAAGAACGGCGCTGTGCCAGGTAGGGTTGCGGATTGAAAATTTCCAATTTCAGATTTCCACCATTTTTGGGAAATGAATTTCACCCAGGCGCCACTGGAAATTTCGGAAAAGTGGATCATACAGGCTCTGATTGGACAGATAGGGTGCATTCGACGGCCCAGCCGTCCAAATTCCCAGCAAAATCGTACTAAAGTTACGACCCATTAGCCCAGAGCTACATCCATTGCGTTGTCCAGTCCCCGCAGTACGTCAAATTGGGCTA